AGGATACGAGCCTTCCTCCCTGATGCAGGGCTTGGGGCCACACTACGGCTTTTCCCTGGGTTTCCTCTTCAAGGGGAGGGAGGCTGGAGGAGCGCTCACACTTCCTGCTCGGGTGGACACTCCGCAAAGCTCAGAGGGAGGGTTTATGTCATAGGGAGCTCCCACCTCTCGCCTACACTGCCTCCTGTCACTCTTGGTGGGTGGTTGCAAAAACCTCCATGCCCCAGACCACTTTCACGTGGGAGCCGCACCCTGGAATTCTGAGGAATCGCTCCAGAAATAGATCTGCGTATGGAGATTTCCCCTCCCCTTTAGCAATGCTTAAGAACCAACTATTTCTTGATAATTAGGTAACATTTAAGTACCGGATAGGTAACTTTAGATTTCCGAGGTGGGAGGGGGGTGTTATATTTAGAATGAAGGCTCTTACTTAGAGGCAGTGTTTAATGAAGGCAGGGCCAGTTCTCTGGGGTGTCCAGCTGTGGCTCTGCCAGAATGGGCTGGTGACCTTGAGAAGTCACTTCATCTCTCCGGGCCTCAGTTTCCTCACCTGTTTAAAAAGATGTGATATGTGTGTGGAAATAGGAAATGATCTCTAGTTTCTTCCAGCTTCCCAGTGGGAAGATTCTATGGTCTCTTGAGAGATTTATTCTCCCAAGCCCTTGAATTATCTCCAGTAAAACTTGAGCAAAATGTAATCATTTAATAATATTCTGGAAAACTACATTTATAGTTCCTCTTTATTAAAAGATACCATGTTTTATTTATACATAGACACACATGTGCACATGCATTTGTGTACATGTGTGTGTATGTATGTATGTATATATTATACTAACTTTGCTGTATTGTATATTAATACATATAATATATTTATGTGTGGGTGCTGATCTTATACAATTTTGTTGATACGGTTCATAGAAGTAAAACATGAAAATATTTAAAGTAAAGCAGAAATATAGTTAGCAGGCCCCAGGGTTCTACATTTTGCCCGCTGTCTCCCTTTGGGGACAGTTTCCATAAAGTGCTCTGTTTTAACACTGTGTCGTCTATGGAGGGACGGAATTCTTCATTATGTGGAGCAGAGGTTTTTCAAACTGTGTACGGTGGAACTTCAGAGCTCCATAGATAGTCTCCAAAATCCGAGAAAATACCTGAAAAAATAATTTAAAACTTTACTAGCCCACACCCAGGGAGCTTGGCGGGTTTGGGTTCCAGTGGCTGGCACAGTCTGTCTGCACTTGGGGTTACACGTTCCTGACTTCCCTCCTCTTCTGTGCACACCCCGCTGTGCTGTTGATACCTCCTGCATACTGCCTCTGCAGACGGATTAATGTGGTTTGTATGGTTAGGTAGCTCTCCTGCCCCGTCTGCTTTATTAAAGAATACCCCATGGTCACAGCACGAGCTGTTAAGAAACAGGTGCTGTTTGTCATTACTTACTGGTGTGTCAGGACTTTTCCAGGTACGGTGCTGCAGTTGACATCCCCAACTCCTAACGTCACATTTTCAAGTTCATCAAAGTAGCTTAATGGTTCTAATGATAGACTTTATAATAAGAATATGTTATAAATTGAGCTTATAAAATAAATGAAATACGGCTTTTCTCTGTGCATAGGAATTTCATATAAGATTCATTTGGAAAAATAGTTCTGTTGCTAAAAATGTTTGGAAGCCACAGATGTGGTGAAAAGAGCACAGATTTTAGAGGCAGACAGTTCTAGATTTGAGCCTCCGTTGCTTACTAACTAGATGGCCGTGCACAAAGTAATTTGCCTCTCTAAGCCATAGTTGCGTCGTCTGTAAAATGGGCCTACTCTCCAGCAGGCAGAATGTTTTGAAGATTATAGAGAAATGTACAAAGGGGCCTAGTCCAGTGCCTGACACGTAACGAAAAGTTCAACGTATAATAGCTATTATAATCTCTCTACACTGTGGAAATGCTTATATCTTATTGTATTTGCATATTTATTTACACAGGAAGCCTAGCATATGCATATCCTGGTAAACGTATTTTCCTATAATTTAGAGATGTTTTAGCAAACCAAAGTAGCACATTTCTCTTTCTGATACAGCTTGATGGCAAATTAAATTTATTTCCTTTTCTTTCGTCTTGAAAGTGTGTGGAACCTTAACAGAACAATTTCTCGTTAGTTTTTTTGTAGTAGAAAAAAAATCAAAGAGCCGGTGGGAACTGCTCTTATGCATTGAGACTCCAAAATGCTGCTTCATTTTTATGTACACGCTCTTTGTGGGTGGACTGCAGAAATCCCTGCTCTTGGAAATGTTTTTGAGCCCCCTGGGAAACTGACTAGGGAAAAAAGAGCTAATTTAAAAAGCTGCCATCCGCCTCCTCTAATTAACTTGCTCTCCGCTCCTGGGAGAGGGTGCAGAAATATGAAAACAATGCAGGCGACGCTGGAAATGAATGCCTTCCAGTGGTCCACAGTAGCCCTTGGTGTTTTGACGCAGAAATAGTTCATGGTACACAGGCAAGGAACCACAAAGGGGCTTGGTGTGCCCTCACCCCGCGCACAGGGCAGTGGTGAATGGTGGTCCCTTCCAAGCAGGTGTGCAGGCCGGGCAGCTGCAGCAGAGGAGAGCTCATTGGAATTCAGCAGCTTGAACCCAAGAGCATCCGGCCCTCCCTGTCGCTTGCTTGTGCTGCTGGGAAAGAGCAGAGGGCCTTTGTGCTCTAAAGCCACACATCGCCAGGGCCCAGGGATGGAGAAGGCATGGGAAGAGTGTGCAGCCTCTCGTTCCGTGTCTCTGCTGGACGCCGGAGAAGCTCACCACATCTGTGGCTGGTGGTGCAGCTAACTTTTTCATGACATCTTGAAGAGATTTAGATCCCACAGATACCACCGAGGGAATTAGGGGTGAGAATTTGGGGGGCAGAGGCTGTTCTTCAGCAGAGATGGCTTTTGCCTCCTGGCGGATGTGGCCCCTGGTGGAATGGGCCCAGTGGATGTGGACAGCGGTGACCAGCAGTGGGGACTCCAGTCTGCGGGTCCTTCAAAGAAGCTCTGGAAAGAGGCAAGTTGGCTCTATGTGTCTCATCAATGTTGCTCCTGACTCAGGTGGTGCTGGGGGCCGGGGCGACACCCAGGGCCCACCAGGCTGATGCAAACGCTTATTCCTCTCTGATGCTCAGTTGTGTACCTTCCTTGTGTTTTTCATACCGGTGAACAGACTCCAAAACTTCAGGTACCTAGATCTGTTGTTGTTGAAGTGTGGATATTTCATTCTCCCTCTAGACAAAAGCTCAGACCTTTACTATTAATGTGTGTTTGTAAAAAGTCCGTATGCCCCCTGTTGTGTTTGCATGAATTAAGGCTTTACTCATGAAATTTAATAGTGTGCAGGCTTCAGCTCATTGGATCCCATCAAAAGCAGCTCTGATATTTCTGTTCATCTCTTTGGGTCCCGAGAGGGCTTTGTGGCTGGTTGGAGGAGCCAGAGTCCTTGGGGGTGGGGGTCTTTGGCACTGATAAAGTGAGTTATCAACAAACAAGTTATAAAAGCATCCATGTAGATTTTTCTGAAGAACTCACCAAATGGCTCCTTTTTCCTGTCCTGGCTGACTATAGAGGGATTGGTTTGGTTCCTGGTTCTCTCTGCCCACTGGCAGATGGTCTTTAGAAGATGCTGACCTCTGCTGAGGTCACTGGTCCTTTGACCCTTATGGGAGCTCAGTAATGTGAGCGTTTCATGCTCCATACTCACCTGACGCATCACCCTCTGATTATAGGTCTTTACCCAGATTTGCCCACTGGGCGGCTTGTTCCAGTAGCAATCATTGTATCCACCCCCTTGATCATTACCTTCCTTGTTGCAAATGAATACGTAGCATTTTGGTTTATTTAAAATATCCTGAGATGGGAATCAGGCTGCTTTCTTGCACTCTGGCATCCTCAGAGCGAGGTGGGGCAAGCACCGTGGGTCGACCCCCAGGCATCTTGAGCAAGTGAGGAGCTGCCCCCTAGCCTGAGGACACATTCCTGGCTCAGTGATTTGAGGAGGCCTCATACTTTCTCACTTAAAATTGAGTCACCACTGGAAGCAGGGTGATGGAGAAGGGCTCTCTGCACTTGAGCCCAGGACAAGACTTTAGTTTGGTAAGCGGCCTCCCCTGCTGGGGCATCCTGTGGTTGGAATTTTGGCCCAGTTCTCTGGGTGAAGACTCTTCCTTGAGAGCAGACTTTCTTGCAGGCCAGTGAGGGCCATTTTCACACCATTGGGGTCAGTGGCCTATGCTTTGTGTCTTGGTCTGGCACATCCTCCAGCTGGCTGGCTGGCTTGCTGGTTTCATTCCTTCATCCCTTCATTCATTAGGTTTATTCATTCGTTTAACCAATGTTTATGCACTGCTTCCTGGTATAGGTTCAGGGATGCTGTGATAAACAAGGCCGGCTGCCCTCATGGCCTTTTCAGCTCAGTAGAGGAGAAAGATAATTGACACAATTAGAAAGTGAATAAATCTCTAGTAACAAGTTATGAGAAGCACGGGGACAGAAGGGCAGCGGGAGAGAATGATGAGGTGGGGTGGGGAGAGGCCAAATGAGATTGAGTTTCCTGGGGTGGGGATCCTATGGGGGTGTTGAAACCACAGTATCAAAAAGTGTCCCTGGAAATGCCTCCATATCAGTTTGACTGAACTGATGCCAAATAACACGTGCCAAAGTTGATCAAAAGATTCCACTGTTTGTATTTGCCACTAAGGCTAGAAATATGTATTTCAAATAGAGCTGAGTTCAAAGAATATATCATTTGGGCACAAAGCTGGTGATAATGAGATTCCCCCTTGGGAATCATGCTGTGAAATGACTTTCCTCGCATCTGTCCTCAAACAGTTTAATTGGCAGGGAGCCTGCTTCTGCCGGTCCCGGGTGGGAGTCAGAAGGCTGCACGCTGCTCAGCTGCATGGCCCCTGGTCCCTCGGAGCAAACGTGGCCCTGGCCCCTGCCTAACCCGGGTTTCTCCCCCTCTCTCTCCATCAGGAGTTCTGACTCTGAAGAAGCATTCGAGACCCCGGAGTCAACGACCCCTGTGAAAGCTCCACCAGCTCCACCCCCGCCACCCCCCGAAGTCATTGCAGAATCTGAAGTCAGCGCACAGCCTCCCCCGGAAGAACCAGGTAACCAAGGCTCAGGTGCCCCCTGAGGGAGGCCCGGGAGCTGCCCTGTGGCTGATCCCCAGGGAACTCACAGCAACTACTCCTGGGGCGTGGCTGGAGGAGGGCACCCTCCCCAGGGGCTGTTGCTGGAGCTCCTTAGACAAGCCCCGCTGCTGGGGCCTCTAGGCTCTGGGCTGTGTTTTATGTGGGTGGAAGCTAAGGGGAGCAGGTACAGTGGATTCTTCTTTTGCTTTGCAGAAGTTTAGGGGAGGCGTCTGGGAAAACCACGCATTTATCTCTCGGTGCCTTTCACCTGGCACCCAGAACTGGGTTTGGGTGGGGAAAGAGGGTCTTGGAAGTTTCTGTCTTGGATTCTGATTTTAGCCCCCTGCTCCTGTAAGAACACTGGTTCTGGACGCCCGTGTGGACCTGCAATTTGTTACAGATCACAGCCCCACCGGGCTTGAGGGACGCAGATATTTAGTGAATGCGCAAGAAGAGAAAGTAACAGCTGAATCCATGCGTGGACAGCTCTTTGTTCCTCATGAACGCCAAGTGACCTGATTTCTTAGCACTTTCCCACATCCTTCTCCCCGAGTGTGGCTTAAAACACACACCTTTCTGTGCCTTTTAGACGTGGCGATGACTGGGGGTGACCGTTGGGGATGGGACAGATCTCATTCCCCAACCCCCAGCCTGTTCACCTGCCTGGTGTTCTCTGCGTGCATCCTCCAGTTACACCAGCAGGGCTGGGATCACCTCTAGCATGAAAGTTTAACATGAGGCCTGGAAGGAGAGGGGACTGCTAGAAATGGTCCCACAGGCTCGTCAGGGGGCCAGGTGGTCCCAGAAATGGCCCGGCTGGCCGGGTGGGAGCCAGATGGTACTGTCCTTGGACCTGGATGGTCTGCTCTGGACCCCACACTTTAGGGCTCCACTCTGGCCTTCCTCAAGCCATAGCCGTCACTATGTGAGGAGTCTGCAGGGCTGAACTAGACCGTGCTCTGGATACCTGGAGCAGCCACTCCCTGGGCCCACCCGCTCCCCTTCTTCTGGCTCGTCTTCGCAGAGCTGACTGCCTGTGTCTGTACCTCTCAGCTGAGGAGGAACCAAGGATGGGGCTGGGATGTACAGGTGGGGTGTCCACACACCTGTACTCAAGGCCACCACAGGTGAGGGCTGGAGCTTGGGTGGGAGGAGAAGGAGCAGGGCAAGGATGGGACCTCCATTTGTACTCGTTCCTTGGCCAGGTGGGCTGAAAAATAGAATAACATTTTGACCTTGACGTTAGTTTTACAAAGACATGGGTGGAGGTCTTTCTACCTGCACTGGCTTCAAGCAGGCCATTGTTTTAGAAAGAGCAGACACTCCAGGACTTTGTTCCTAAGCACCTATGCTCCCTGGTGCTGGGAGAAGAGGGTAGGACAGTTTTTAGGGAGAGCAGGTGCCTTTGCTGGTGTCGGACAAATGCAGTTTCCATATTCTCCCCTTTGACAGCTCCTCAGCTAGCAGGACATGATTCTGCACAGCCACTCTAGACACTGGGCTCTGAGAGGGTGATCATCAGGGCTTGTTTGATTTTAAGGTAGAGAAGAAGCCAGAAGAAGGGCTGCTTGCTTTTCTCAGAGAGTCTCTTGCATCCCCACTTTCTTTCCTTCCTGTAATAAAGTGTGTAAAAATTTCACTTCCTATAATTTTGTAAAACATTGGCCCTTAGGTTTTAATAGAAAGTGGCTGAATTACAAACAGATTGTAATCCCTAGGTCAAACATGTAATTAAGATTAAATTATCCTTTCTTGTGGATATATAAGCTCATGCCTATAAATCTGTGGGATACTTTAGAGAAGAATTTGGAAGGAAAATGATGGCATTTTACAGTGTCTGGTCCATCCCCAAGCACCAAGCAGTGTACAGAGGAAGACCGTGGCGGTGGGCGTGTGTGCACCCTCCAGGACTTCCAGCTCACGTCCCGACCAGCCCTGGGGACTGGTTTGCCACTTCTCTTCTTTGGCCAGTCCTTGTTTCTTCTGCCTGAGTTTTTTCCAACAAACCAAAGAACAGCTTTCATTCGCAAAAATAAACGCACGCACCACAGCCACCTCTTTCTTAGATGGCACTTTCTGAAAGAAGGAGCATTATAGAGGATTAAGAGAGAACCCCTCCGAGGAGGGGTTGGAGCCGTCAATTGCCATGAGTCACAGCCCCTCAGAACCTTGCTTACACCTGTTGGAGTCTTGAACAGGGACTCTCCGCATCTCCTTGGAAAACTACAATGAGGCTAAATGTCTGCGGATTATACTGGAAGGACACTGACGGTTGGCATGTATCTGCCTGAAGCGCCCCTGCACTCGTTCAAAAGGCTGCCTTTCCATCCTGCAGACAGCGTGGGGCACGGCACAGGCGTGAGAAGAGGCTGTGCTTGCTTGTGGAGGTGGCTAGAGGAAAAGAAAGCTTCCTTCTGAGAACCACGGGAAATAAAGGGCAAGAGAGGAGAGTCTGTTCTTTGGTTTTCCTCTGCAGAGTGCCAGGACGTTGCCAAAGGTGTCAAAGGAACCACATGAAATAATAGATGAGACCTCTGCAGTGAACAGAGACATGATTTTTTCCTCCTGGAAAGCTACATTTTACAAAACAATCTGTCGCCTTATCTTGGGTCCTCCCACCATGTTTTGCTCCAGGGGATTGGAGGATGGGCGAGACCTGGGTGTTCCACTTTGCGCCTGCCATCCTCTGGACCAGGCCAGGATGCAGCTTATCTGAGCCCCATTTTCTTATCTGTAAGATGAAGAGGGTGACCTGAGAGTCCTCCGAGATCCTTCCCACTCTGCCTTCCATGGTCCTGTTAATAGACCGCTTGGCTGCTGTATAGTGGCTGTGTTATTAGAACTCAAAACTGGCCACTGAGGGACATAAACAATAGTTCCCATTGAGGGATCTGCCATGTGCCAGGCCTGTGCTGGGAACTCTGTGTGTTTCATCTCCTGTTCAGAAGAGAAAAATCCTCAGTGCTCAGCATCTCTGTCCCCGGTCATCCACACTTCATTGCCCTCTCTCTGCTCCTCCCTCTCTCCTGGCCCCTTTGGAGGGGTCCAGGAGCTCCATTCGTGCTCTTGTGCACGTGACCACTGGTGTCTCCAGTGGTGAACTCACTCTCAGTTTAAGGTGTTAACAGTGATACTGATGCTTGGGTCCTACCTCTAAACCACTGAGTTAGAATCGACTGGGGTAGGACAAGGCAATCCACTTCTGTGCAGCCCAATGTGACAACCCCCATGGGTAAGGAGAAAACACACAGGCGGGTGCCTTAGTGACAGCTGGCAGGTGGCACATGTTGCCTAGGCAGAGGCCGGGTCTGCTCCTGGGCACTCCAGCTATTGGGCCAGGGGTATATGTGGTCCACCACCCCCAGATCCAAAACTTATGCATCCCAGGATGGAGGGACGATGGGAGTTCAGGGGCCACGTGGGAAGGTGAGGAAACCTGAGAGGACAGTGGCCTCACTTGCCCACTGTTGCCGTGCTCACACTGCCCTGGACCCCTTGGGTGGGCACACCGAGCACCGGGCGGGGCCCTGAGCCTCTGGACGCACATTTACTTCCCTTAGTGACCTCGCTGGAGGATCTCGACTGCACTCGTCGTCCAGCTCAGCGGCCCCTGCCGGCTCAGCCAGCCATGAGAGTATCCCACAGTGCTTCGGGGCCCACACACCCCAAACAGGCGACTCAGGGCCTGTTATTCCCCCAGGAGGACAGAGGTATAAGCCAGGCCGTATATATGTTGCCCTGTTACAGATGACTTTTGGTAGTAAGAACAGAACAACAGGCAATATTGGGGAGCGTTTTCTTTGCAGTGGACATATTAGAGACCTAACCTCTAATGCTGCAGCGATTGGGGAGGTGGGACTGGGGACAATGACAATGAGACACAGCGAGGTTAGGAACTTTGGTTAAGGTCACCGAGCTGAATAATGGCAGAGCCAAGGTCTCAGCCACGTTTTGTCCAGCTCTGATCCCTCTGCCACTGACTTTTCTTGCATCAGAACTGGGGTGTGTGATGTTCTCCTAGTGATTTGTCCTCGAGCTGTCTTCTTGAGCTTATAAAGAAGGCATTTTTCTGAAACTTCTCATTTCGTGCTCAGGATGATAGTTGAGGGAGGCTGGAAGGGAAGTTTGAGGACACAGAGCCTGAGTGGCCCCTGTCACAGCGTGTTTAGTTATTGCCTCTATTGGTCATTTTCCTGCCACCTCCGAATGAAGAGCAGTGAAGTCTGTAAGAGGAAAGCCCCTTTGTGCTTATGCCGGGCCAGGCCTGGGGTGGACCACGGCGTGCCTGGCAGGCAGCTCTGTGGGGCATCCCAGGCAGGACAGCAGGTGAGGACTCCGCAGGAAAGCTGCTGACTTCTGGCAGGGAGGATGCAGGAAGAAAGCAACAGTCAGCAAAGCAGGACGGAGAATGGCATTTGATGTGCTCAGGGCTGCACAGGTCCCAGCTTTGCACACTGCCCCATAGTGGGGCTGTCAGCCCGCGGTGCTCCTGGGTCCCTGTGGGGTGATGTCACTTTTTGCCCCAGCCAGCAAAGTCCCCTTTCAGCTCTGCCAGTTCTAACTAGGGCTGCTTCACTTGGCTGCTCACAGGTGGACTCTGGTGGAAACCATCTGGTTTTCAGAGAGAATTTCTCCATCTCTCAATGAGTCACCCTGGGCAGTAATTGTCATTACCCACAGTGCCTTGAGCAGCACTGGTCCCACCTTAGCCTTTGGGAATTGGATGGAGGTCCGAGAGCATGGATAGTATGAGAGCAGAGCAGATGTCCAGGAAGCAGCAGGCACAGGCCCGCTGGGTGGGGGTCCTCAAGACCCAGCAGGGTCGCTGTGAGACTCTGAAGGCCCACTGAGTCAGGGAGGGAAGCTGGCTTCGCATGGGCCTCCTGCCCCTCTTTGCTGGTCCTTTCTGAGTTTAGCAACGAGGGTGGGCACTCGGACCGTCTGCCTGTCATTTCACCCATCCTGACGCCTCAGACCTCTGAGGCAGAATCCTTGCAGGCCATCCGAGCTCGCCTCAGAGATCAGTCCAAGCCAGTCGAAGTGTCCTCCACATCATTTCTGTGCCAAATATTAAACCATTGCCCCTGGAGGTGTTAAGAACTAGGATAGTCCAGATAGGAAGCAGGTGAGGTGGTAGCCCAGCACTCAGACTTCCCTGCTCATGGGGCTCACCTGTGACAGCTGTGAAAATGGGGCTTCTGAGCCCCCACTCCAGGCCTGCTGAACTGCTTCTCCAGGGAGGAGCCAGGAGTCTGGGGTTTTAATGAGCGTCTTAGGCGTGTCTTAGCATAGACAAGTTTGGGAAACGTTCAGTTCATCATGGACTTGCTGCAAGTCACCCACACCTGCCAGCAAGATGCCACATAAGGACCGAGTAATGCTCCATTTATGTCTCGTTAGCCTACTTAAAATGGAGACCTTTTCCAGAATAAACACTATGAATTGCAATAGATTATTACTTATGTGCTTAGGTGTAAAGCTATGCTCCCTGTGTGTAAGGCCATTGACCCTTGGTGTGCTGGTTTAAGGTAAGAGTCTGTGAGTGTGGGGGGCCATGTGTTGACACCTTTGGTCCTCTGGGCCCCGGGGTCCCTGCAGGAGCGGGCGGGGCCAGTGCGAGGGCAGAGAGAAGCACCAACCCAGCCGGCAGTCAGTGCTCCAGTTAGAAACAGTCCAGCACAGCTGAGAGATGTGGCCTTTGGAGACGGTAGGGTGACATCAGTTGAGTGGCATTAGTTGCCCCTTATTGGCTTTCTCCCTTTCCTCAGAATTCCCTCTTGTTTCTAAATACATTTGTGTTTTTGCCTAGCTTGGGGGTTTTATTGCCTAGCACTGATGTATGGACTGCATTGTGTCCCCCAGATTTGTATGTTGAAGCCCTAACCTCCCAACGTGAGTGTATTTGAAGATGGGATCTTTAGGGAGGTGATTGAGGTTACATACGGTCATAAGGGTGGGGCCCTAACCCAATAGGACTGGTGTCCCTGTAAGAAGAGGAGGACGCAGGGATGCTCTCACACAGAGAAAAGACCAGGTGAGGACACAGATGACAGCCATCTGCAAGCCAAGGAGAGGGGCCTCAGAAGAAACCAAACCTGTTGACACCTGGATCCTGGACTTGCAGCCTCCAGAACTGTGAGAGAACACCTGTCTGTTGTTGAAGCCCCCAGTCCGTGGGACTTGGCTATGGCGGCCTGGACAGACTGACAGAACTGAGAACCGCCTACTGAGCCTTTGCATATGATGAACCAAGGATGCTGATTTTGTCATCAGACTGAGCCAAAACTGGACCCCGGGGAGGCGTTGGTGTCCAGGGCAAGCATGAGGTGGACAACATGTTCACGTGGATGGATCCCTCTGGGGTCTTGTCCTTGCTTCTCTGTGCCCACAGCATACCCTATTTGTGGAATGAATGAATGAGTGAATGAATGGTCTTCATGCAGCTATGGTGTGTGGATGTTCAGAAATCCACCGAGGGGACTGGGAACCCAATTGGACCACACTTGCTCTGGAATATCAGGGCCTACATGTGGCAGTGGCCTTTCCCTGGTCTTACCCAGGGTTCCTCTGATGAGGGCATGGAGGTCACCACATGATAAGACAGCGATTCTCAAGCGGGGACAGTTGTGGCCCCCAAGGGGACATTTAGCAGTTTCTAGAGACATTTTCGGTTGTCACAGCTCGGGTGGCGGATGCTACAGGCATCCAATGGGTAGAGGCCAAGGATGCTGCTAAACATCCTACAGTGCACAGGACAGCCCCCCACGACAAAGAGCTCACCATCCCGAAATGGCCACAGTGCTGAAGTTAAGAAACCCTGCAGCCAGATTAGATTTCCTGGCCCATGGTGATTTAATTAGGGAATGTCAGTTCTAAAGAGGAAAGCCATGTTAAGCAGGCAGGGAGCTTTCCTTCCAGAGCAAACAGTGAGCAGATGGTTAAGCCAAATATCTGCTGACTGTTGCCTGATTCCGAGAGAACCGCAGACATCTGAAGGGCCTCGGAAGGCTTCCTCGGGCTGCTGGGGCATGCGAAGTGGCCTGAGACACCGCAAGTCAGCGGTTGTGGGCCTTGCTTTGGAAACGATGGGATGGGCTGAGGCTTTTTCTCCCTCCTGCAAGGCCCACATGAAAGCACCTGGTCCCCTGGTCTTCCTGTGCCCTCTGCACAGTGTGTCCAAGGCCCGAGTCCTGGAGGAAATAGGGAGGGAGTTGACTTCAGAGTGAAGAAGGGAGAGGATGCCCCTCCTCTGCAGAGGGGAAGGAACAGGAGGGTTTGAGATGATGGAGGAGTCATTTGGCGGACAGAGCAGAGCTGAGAGGCTTCACGCCAGCGCTCCCCCTTCTGGGACCTCTGCTCCAAGTAGGACGGTGGGTGGCCTTGGGTGCAGAAGAGAGGGCAAGTTTTGAAACCATGACTGGCTAATAGACGTGCTTCCGGACGATGCTCTCAGTTCAAGAGCCGTTATTGAGGCTGCGAGAGAAAGTACGACAGTTCCGGGGAAAACAGATCAGTCAGACCAGTTCGTGAACTCGGCGGGCTTGTGGTTTCCTTGTCTCCGGCAGCACTTCATCTCCTGGGGGCTCTGCCAAGTGCTCCCGGAGAAAGGTTTGCTTGTGAGCAGGGTCAGTGAGCACCGCATGAGACCCTCAGCGCCTGGAGTTTTGCAACAGTGAGCAGGAGCCGCTGGGAGGAAATCTCCAGTAAGAAGCCAGTTCGAGTTTAATCGAGCATCTTCCAAACTGTGTGTTTGTGGGGATGAGGAATTGGGCTGCCAGATTTAGCAAATAAAAATACGGGATGCCCGGTTACATTTGAGTGTCAGGTAAACAACACATAATTGGGACATGGGACATATTTATACTAAAAAACTTATTTATCTGAAATTCAAATTTAACTGAACATCCTGTATTCTATCTGGCAGTTAAACCAGGGGGCAGGGGGCAGTCTGGGAGTATACCTCCTGCCAGTGGAACTCCCTCTGGGAACACCGTCCCCAGGCCTGTGTGTGCCAGCTCTTTAGTTCCTTGTCTGCAGGCCACTTTGCAACATTTGCCCTCCTTTGTCTATGGACACGCTTTGAGTTTGCTGGCCGATCATTTTCTGGCATCCTGACTGCCCGGGGCAGCTGTGAACCCAGCAATGCCTGAAAGGCTCCACCCGGTGCAGGCCGAGCCCAGAGGAGCCCAGCCCAGGCCAGGCTGGCCAGATCCCCGTGAGCAGCGGGGTCAGGAGAGGAGGGAGCATCTCTTGGCCAAATTTGGAGCATGTGCAGCGTGTTGTAAAATCAGGAGCGTCTCCTTGGCCGGCAGTGGCTGAGGGGTTGGAAAAGCTGGGAGGGAGCCGCAAAAAGAGGAGAGGAAGGGCCAAGAAGAGGAGCGTAGCAGGCAGGTTGGAGGGAGAGATGACAGGGGATGCCTGGAGCAGGGACAGGTGGCAGACGGGCGGTCTCAGGCCTGCTGCAGTTGCCTGGGGACCTCCACACAAAGGCTTCCTGCTGCTCCTCACAACAGCTCTGACTATGGGTAGTCAAGAACAGGCTTGATGATGATAGCAGCTGTTTATTGAAGGCTTACTGTGCTTTGCTTACATTATTGCTCTGTCTTCTTCTCCCTTGCTTTAGCCACACTGGCCTCTGATGTTTCTGTAACACACCAGACATGCTTCCACCCCAGGGCCTTTGCACTTGCTCTTCCCTTTGCCTAGGATGCTTCCCCACAGATATCTTCCTGGTTCATGCCTTTACCTTGTTTCCAGTCTTTGCTTAAATGTCTCCTCCTTGGAGGGCTTTGCCCAACTACCTTATTTTAAAATTGTAATGCCCCTGTCTTGGCTTTATTTTTCTCCAGAACACTTATCACCATCTGACAGTCTGTGCGTTTTACTTATTTGTTTCTTGACTGTCTTCTCCTTGAAGAATGTAACTTCTGGAGGGCAAGGATTTTCTCTGTTTTCTTCATTGTTGAATCCCCAGCACTCAGAACGGTGCCTGGTCCAGACTGGGCACTTGGTAAAGGGTTTTTGAATGACTGAATGATCTGAGCTTTTCCTTAGACAGCCCTTATCACTCTCATTTGATGAAGGAGAGAACTGAGGGTAAGCCTGTCCAGGGTCTGGAGCTAATAATGGGAGCTAAGAATGAGAGCAGGGTTTGTACCCAAGCCGTGTGCCCGCCCCGTGCTGGGCCAGGTTGGCCAGGGGGCTCTGTTTAGAGGGGAATCATCTGGCACGAGATGAGAAATGCTCCCAAGTGTCCTTAAGTGACTGCTTTGTCTCCGTTCCTCAGGATGTGGTTCTGAGACGGTCTCTGTCCCCGATGGCCCCCGTAGCAGCTCGGTGGAAGGCAGCCCTTTCCGTCCTCCGTCACACTCCTTCTCTGCCGTCTTCGATGAAGACAAGCCGATAGCCAGCAGCGGGACTTACAACTTAGACTTTGACAGCATCGAGCTGGTCGATGATTTTCAGGCCTTGGAGCCTCGCTGCTCAGACTCTAAGAATCAGGAATGCAAAGTGAACACGCGGAGGAAGTCCACGGATTCGGTCCCCGTCTCTAAGTCCACGTTATCCCGGTCTCTCAGCCTGCAAGCCAGTGACTTTGATGGTGCTTCTTGCTCGGGCAGCGCCGAGGCCGTGGCCCCGGCCCCAGATGCCTACAGCACGGGTTCCAGCAGTGCCTCCAGCACCCTTAAGCGAACTAAAAAACCGAGGCCACCTTCCCTAAAAAAGAAACAGATCACTAAGAAACCCCCTGAAACCCCCCCAGTGAAAGAGACACAACAAGAGCCAGCTGAAGAAAGTCCCATCCCCATTGAGGAGAATCCAGCGTCCGAGACAAAAACGGAATCCACTGGGACGGAAGGTTCCGTACCAGCCTTACTGGAGGAGGCTCGTCTCAAACCAGCTGCTGCGTCTGAGGCCGGCTGCCCTCTGGACTCAGAGGGCGCAGAAGGGGCCGTCCCTCCAGCTCCTGGAAGTGGCAGAGTGCAGAACTCACCCCCCGTTGGAAGGAAAACGTTGCCTCTTGCCACGGCCCCAGAGGCAGTGGAGGTGACCCCATCAGATAGTGGGGGACAGGAGGACTCCCCAGCCAAAGGGCTCTCGGTGAGGCTGGAGTTTGACTATTCTGAGGACAAGGGTAGTTGGGAGACCCAGCAGGAAAACCCCCCTCCTACCAAAAAGATAGGCAAAAAGCCAGTTGCCAAAATGCCCCTAAGGAGGCCAAAGATGAAAAAAACACCCGAGAAACTCGACAACACTCCTGCCTCGCCTACCAGATCCCCCGCTGAACCCAATGACATCCCTATTGCTAAAGGTACCTACACCTTTGATATTGACAAGTGGGATGACCCCAATTTTAACCCTTTCTCTTCCACCTCAAAAATGCAGGAGTCTCCCAAACTCCCCCAACAGTCATACAACTTTGACCCAGACGCCTGTGATGAGTCCACTGACCCCTTTAAGACGTCCTCTAAGACCCCCAGCTCACCTTCTAAATCCCCAGCCTCCTTTGAGATCCCAGCCAGTGCTATCGAAGCCAATGGAGTGGACGGGGATGGGCTAAACAAGCCCGCCAAGAAGAAGAAGACGCCCCTAAAGACGTAAGTTCAGGGTGCAGGTGGTAAGATCGGAGGCGGGCTGTGCATTGGCTGGGATCCTTGGTCATGCAAACTTGGGCTGCCGTAACCCCTCCCCCATCTGCCGTAGTGACGCCATGTTTGTGGCAAGATACGTGTTTTCCTTCCTCTCTGCACCCACAGTGTTGGCATTTCTCATCCACGTATCCCTTTGGGTCTAGAGTCCTTGATTTTTTGCCTTAGTACAAGTCAGTTGTCTAAAGCTTCACTTTTAGCTAAAGACCTAACATTCAGCTCCATGGGATTGTGGGAAATCCAGAGAAAGAGAACAATGTGGTGGAGACCTGGTCAGCCTCCCCGTTGGTGACTTACCCTTTTCCCTATTTAGCACGTGACTTGCTTTCTGGAGTGGCCTGGAAGCTGGGAGATATGCCCTAGTCATATAGATCGTTAAAATCTATAGTATTTGTTTCTGCCCATTAGTGAGACACTAGCCCAGGAGGCCCAGGAGGGAGAGGTCTGGCCTGGCCCCTCCCTGCACCCCAGCCAGAGCTGTTTGTCTTCATCCCTCTCTCGAGCCGTCTTTTGCAGACAAGAGTCCAAAGGCCCTATAGGTCCAGAAGAGATCAAAGGAAACTTTAAGGGAGAAGCACTTTGCACACTAGCAGGCCACTAAGAATTGGGTCTGTTGTCCAAACACTTGCCAAGATCAGTTGCCCTTAAATCCTGCCATGTCCAGGCCTCCACAATTCATTCCAAGCCCCGGCTCAGCTCGGATGCCTGAGGTCTGTTCTCAGGACTTTGGTTCAAGCGGAATGTGGCTTGGAGTGTGGAGGCTTCTCCTTGTTCTCGTGAAGTGTCGTCAGTAATCTAACAAGGCCACGGAGACCGGTCTTCCCGCGGCAACTCAGAACAGACCACAGCTGCTGGCCCCTCTGAGTCTGCCTGGTATAAATCGAGACAGGGGACCTGTTTACCTCCCATCCGGGCTGCCCCGAGCCTTTAGCAATGGAAAAGAACCTGGGGCTTCCTGGGAAGAGGGTCTCTCAGCAGGCTCTGGCCTTGCATCACCCTGCCACTGTCTGGTGGGGCTGGGAGGCAGTCCTGACCAAAAATGTGGACGTTTCTTAGATCAGTTACCTAGCCAGGCCTTTCCTAGAGACTCCATCAGATCTGTGTCGTTAGCTTTATTTTCAGCCTCAAACAGGTGAAGTCTCAAACGCTGACCACAAAGCCCTGTTCTCTCCTTTTGAAATGAGAGCTGACTTGTAGCCACCACCGTCTCCTCCCCACGGGGAGAGCTTGGTTATCATATTTTTCACCATCAGAGCTGACGGAGGTTGGGAAGCCAGCCCCTCTGGAGGTCTCACCTCTAGTGCACATGGCTTGGAGTCCTACCCTGGGGTGACAGAGCTCTGGGGGCACCAGCGCTCTGTGGGATAATTGGAACCAAGAAAGGAAGGGCTTCTCCAACAGCCTGTCTCCAGAAAGCTGGGATATTGCCCCCACTCCACGCAGAACCCACAGTGGACGGCTGTCGTATCCTAACCCAGTAATAACCAGTTGTCTGCAGATTTATCTATTTTGTCAGTTCCTTCTGTCTGTCTCTCTTTTTCTTTGTCTTCTTGTCTTAGGATGGTTGAAGATGTGATGTCTGTGTGTTCTCTGTTGTAAGTAAATTTAATGGGATCTGCCTCTTATGCTAAATGTGCTTTTCTCTGCCCTGTGTTTGCTTCCAAGCTCTTTTTATTTCCTCTCCATGGCTGCTGCTTACATATTTCTGGGGCGGGCCTGGGAATGATGGAGGCATGGGGCTGCCCAGTAGTAGAGGTTATTTTTCTGTTTCATAGTGGTGAACGTAAAGGAAACTGCCTGGCTGTGAAATCATGATTATCCACCATCTGCCTGCTTGTCAGGAATGGAACCTTTGTGTTCCCCCGTTGCATATTGGATGTCTTCATCTGAAACCCGTGCATCTTTTTTTTTTTTTTAACTCTCATTTCATTCTTTCGTTTTAAATTGGACTAGTGGGCGATTGCTTTCAAAGTACTGTGGCTTCACATTAAAATACCCATCCAGTTAGACCACAGGCAGTGCCTGCCGTGGCTTGTTCTTACTTACATGTGAAGCAGAAATGATTGGGCTGTTCCACATTGAGACCTGCAGGAGCGCCCTGAAGTGCAGGGTCCGCTCAGAGTGGAGCACACAGCTGTGAGAGCCATTGTCAGGCTGTGCAGGGCCTGCGTTCTCGGTCACCTGGGACCAGGCTGGGCCTTGGCATGTCTCCTGTGAGCTGCCCTGCTGGGTGTCGGGAAGCAGAGTGGACCACCTCTGTGCCCCTAATGCTTTGCCTTCCGGCCAGAAGGGACCCTGTGGGCAGCTCCCAGAGAGGCCCAAGGACAGGTACCTTCTCTGCCTTCCGAGGGAAGCTGGCCTGGCTCCTGGCATTCAGCAGTCCCGGGGAGGGTTGGGTCTCAGCCTTTCTTCTGCCCCCAGGATTGCTTTAGTATTTTAGAGCCATTTAGCAGCCATGAAATGTGCAGTTATATATTTATATGCATGAATAAATATATGCTTCAAGCTGTGATTGCACTGTTCATATGGCAAATGCCATAAATGCTGTAAATAACCATTTATAGTGATTTTTTTCACCACTGGATGCCATTGTTGGAGCATTTTATTGGAGAGAACACAAGGAAAGAACTCGAGTGCCAGATTGCTCTGTCCATCCAGTTAACGTTTAGTGCAGGGAGGGCATTGAGATCTGAGGTGAGGGGACCCCCCTCCCCCAAAGCCCTTTCTTTGCTGGGGGCAGGACCATACCACGGAGGGGCCTGAGGCCAGGGGCAGGGGCCAGTCTGCAGGTGGAGAAGCCTCCATTCTGACTGTGGAAATGACCCCTGGCCACCCACTGGACATAATGAAACGGTCTTGACTCCAAGTCCCTTCCTCTGACCCTTTCAGGAGTCTGATCTTATGTTTCCTTTGCCTCACATTCCCCCCTGACCCCCAAAAATTTATATGAAGGAGAAAGAGGGTGAGAAAAGAGTCATTAACAATGGTTAGGAAAAGGCATTAAAAAAATCCTCCCATCCTTGAAGAGAGTTCTGGAGATCAGCTGCACAATGTGAATGTCCCTTACACTGCTGAACTGCACGCTTAGTGTTTAAGGTGGTCAGTTTCCTGGTATGTATCACCCCGTGAGAACCATCCCGGCCCCCGCCCGCCTGTGGCTGGACTCACACCTAGAAGTTGAGAGGTGCAGGAATCCCATTAATTCCATTAAGCTCAGAGTTCCTGCGAGTAGGAAGGAACCTGCTGGTTTTCCCTGAAGACCCAGAACCTTCTTTCCAGTTTCCGCATGGCTCCTTCAGTTGTCAAAGTGCCATGTCGGCTCACCCATCTGTAAATTGTAAATCTGTTAATTGCTGTCATGAAGCCAGACCCCCTCCCTCCACCTAGGCTGGTTCAGTCATTCCTGGATGAATCAGGAGCCTTTAATCTGCTCACCCAAAATTTGCATTTTAAAATAAGAACATGTGGTTAAATTTAGCTTCATTTTCTGGGTCAGCTCTCCAAAATGGCATCTCTTTAAAGGTTTCCAGCTTGATGGGATCTTTCCCTTGGGGGCAGCAATAATATCTGTTAAGTCAGAATGAATTGTCGGTGTGGATGTCTTGGCGTTGGCGTGGTGTAGACTGGGGGGTGGTCTGGGCCAGATACTCAGCAGAGGCGGTGGCTTCGGTCTGCTCTGGAGGGTTCTCTGCCTCTGTTTGTTGTGTTTACATTTTCCATTTTGTTTCCAGTGACACATTTAGGGTGAAAAAGTCTCCAAAAAGGTCTCCTCTCTCTGATCCACCTTCTCAGGTACGCTGTTCCCTTGACGTTTATGATTTTATTGCTCACCTAGGAGTTCAGGCTGATGTGTTTTTATTCCCCACTAGTCAACAAAGCTTTCTTTTCTGCTCATCATGGGCACATCTCCAACACTCTCTTCTGCCTCCTGCGAGGAGGGTCCCTCAGTGTTTGCAAGGCATTGTTTTGATCCCTTCCCTTTGGGGAACATCAGAGCATCTCAAGAGTAGGAAGATGTTCAGGAAGAATGTTATTAGTTGGATTCTGTAGGAATGGTACCAGGCCATCCTGACCAGTTAATCTGCTGAGCACTCACAAGTATCAAGTGGAGGAGGTCTGTTGAATATATAGTGAGAAAATGAAAAAACTGAATGTGTGTTAAGAGCAGTGGATCATGTCACCAAAATCACAGTGGGAAGATAAAGGAAATCCATCCCCTAAAGCAGCGCAGGCTTGGGCTCCTTCTGCGTCTGAGTCCCTGTCCTCCTCTTACTAGTTCCTCTACCACATAGATTCCCTTCCTTCTACCCCATTTGCTTACCAAGGAAGGCCATCCTCAAATGTGTATGCCAGGCCAGTCGAGGTCATCAAACAAGCAAACCTCCCATCTGAGCCATCAACGCCCCAGCCAGCCAACCCTGGCCAGGGGGGAGGCTGCAGAGAGAGGCGTCCAGCCCCAGGAGCGGGGTCTTGGGCCCCAGTCCCAGCTCTGCTCCAAAATTTCTGGGCTCCCCCCCTGCCCTGCTCAGCTGCATACCCTCTGTGGAAATGGAGATAGGACCCCCTCTCTCTTCCTCCATCGACAGGCGTTAGGATTGTCGGGTGATAGTGACAATATTGATGTGCAGGCCTTGAGTACCGTGTGACCATCACACAGTAGTAGCTGTAATGAAAGTGACCAGAGTAAAAGTCTCCTTATTTTTCTCACAGTGAACAAGCAGGAATGTCTCAAATAGCCAAGACACAAAATCCTCATTTTTTTAAACCTGTGGTCACCCCTTGAAACAAGCCACCAGAAAAGGAAATTCGTAGAGGAAGGAATTTGTTGCCCTGGGACCATTTTGAGCAGAGTCCAAGTACATGCCAAGGATTTTGACAGGGGCCTGTTCTGGTTAGTGGGACCCCAGAGTCATTGGTGGGCGCAGTTTCAGACGCAGAGACTGAGTGAATGAAGGCACTGCTTCCCTTTCCCCACAGGACCCCACTCCAGCAGCTACACCAGAAACGCCGCCAGTGATCTCCGCCGTGGTCCACGCAACTGATGAGGAGAAGCTGGCGGTCACCAGCCAGAAGTGGACGTGCATGACGGTGGATCTGGAGGCTGACAAACAGGACTACCCGCAGCCCTCCGACCTGTCCACCTTCGTAAACGAGACCAAATTCAGTTCGCCCACGGAGGGTAAGCAGTTCGGGGGGCAGCCGGACCCCCATCCTGCCTTAGAGACTACTGCCCCTAGGGAGCAAAAGGCCAGGAAAGAAACTTCTAAGACAGGTAACCATGCTGTCAGCTGTAGGCTCCCAGTGTGCTCCGAGCTAAGGCTGCTTCTTAAAACAGCCTGAGGCCTGACACCAGCTGTCCTGTGACCCCAAGCCGCCTGCTAAGAGCCAGGACAGCGCCCTCTAATTCCCGGTCCTGAGCTCCCTTGAGCTTTGCTCATTCTCAGCTGTATCGCTCTGTCTGTCTGCTGATAACTTTGAAAGAACAGCTCTAAGGAGCTTCATTCAAGTCAAATGCTCAGGGTAAGTCAACCTACTGGGGGGTCTCTTGGTGCCACCACTGTTTGTAGTCCCCATAGGACATTCCACAATGTGACCACACCTTCTACCCAAGCCTCAAGCCAGAGGTTCACCCAGGCTTGCTAACAACAGGACAGTCCTTTGGAATAGGCCCCCGGCACATTGCTTATTTCGTTAATATCTTCCTTCCTCTTCTGTGTTTCACGCTTAGCTTTCTGCCTGGTCCTTGGGCTGGAAAAGTTCATACATCTTAAGTCAGTGCAGCATGACTGGGTGAATGAAGATTTTTTAAAAAGTTTTTTATTCCACTGACACTGATTTTTCTAAATGTGTATATTGTTTTCCACCCTTCCTTTCTTGTTAGGAAAGCTGATGAGAGAGCAACTATGAATTAATCCATTTCCCTGATTTGATTTGATTTTGCCCTGGGTTCTAGTCCTCACAGTGCCTTTCCTCCATCCCCGTGTGAGGCTTGTAGCCTGGTGTGGGTGATCATTCCAGCACTCTGGACCATTGTGATGGTTCTGTTTCCCTTTCCAAGATGTTGCTGTCTGACAATTGTAAAAACTTGAGTAGAAGTCAACGTGAGGATGGTCGAACAGAAAACCTTATCTCTACTTCCTTGCTGCTTATTAGGCCCATGATTTCCATTACGTAACCTTCCTCCGCCCTCTGGGCAGGGCGGTGGTGGAATTGGAATGCTTCCTCGGAGGGTCTTCCGTGATCAGGCCTCTCAGTGGCTTGCTTGGCGCCCATGAGGTTTCTGAATGGTACCGTGAGATCCATTGCATGGTTTTGGGGATTTGGGATGCTTATCTTCTCACTACACTGGCTTTCCACAGTTTGAAGAGGAAAAGACGATCCAAATTACGTGTTCTTGGACTTTGGGGCATTGTATCTTCTGCAGAATGGAGGCTTTTGGTGGGCTGTCCATTTGGCCCTCTGGCTTGGGGTTTGGAAAGCTTAACAGTAACCATCTCACTCCAGCCTGACCCCAGGGGCTGGGACGTGGTCTCCACCTCTCTTGAGTCCTCCTTTTCCTCTGCACACACACATGAACCACCAGTCTCCCCGGATGGAACTCCTTTTCCCTGGGGACACGCCTACTCAGCTGCCTCTGCAGTGGCTGCTGCTGGCCTCCGGCTGGAATGCCCCCGTTCCCTCTCTTCCACACTTGTCCTGCCCCCTCCCAGCCTTTCCCTGGACATCTCTGCACTGCCTGCCCACAATGCTTGGTCTGGGCCACTCTGAGGTCACTTAACACCATAATGATGATATGTGTACCTCTCTTGCTCTTCCACGACAGTGTGTGTTCCCTGAAGGCAAGGACTCCATCTGGTCCATCTTTGTGTTCCCCACAGCTTCCTGAACTCAGTAGGGACTAACGACAGGTTTGTGGAGAAAGGAAATACAAGGCCAGGCAGGTAAAGAGCTTAGTGTCAGCACAGTCAATTTGATCTTTGCAACAGGTGTCACCTGTGTGAGGGAGATGGGGGGTGACATCCCAGAAGCAGCAGGCGTGCTTGAACACAAGCTGTGGACCTGGCCATCTTGATAGCGCCTGTGGTTTCAGCTGGTTCACGTCTTTTGAAGCTTATAAGAAACTCTTAAACGTCAGAGAATCATTTAGAAACTAACCTGGGCTTGGTCTTGTAGATAAGAATCAACAGGTGTATGATTTGGGGTATGTGTGTATTTGGTGGTATCATGAGAAAGCAAATACATACTTTTTTTTTCATAGAAAATGTAAAGATGCTGATAGTACCTTTTAAGCTGATAGATGCTTCATTCAATGGCAACATCTGTTTCTTCATCTTTAACATTGAACCATAAAACAGACCAGCCATTATATCAGTGACGTAGTTGATCGTTGATTTTTTTCCCCCGCAAAAAATCAACCAATAGGTAAATCTCTGAGTTTGGAACAAAATTCTATTAAACCTGCCTCCTTAGAAAATGCTTGTGAAGATTTGGGAGGTCTCAACCATAATTATAGCTGGCAGGCAGTCGGACATCCACGATGGGTGTGAATACAGTGCATTCACCTCTCTAATAGACCTTGCTTCCCTCTGGCAACTGAATGTAGAAACCTCTTATCAGATCTTTCTTCCTGTTAACTCAGTGAGGTCAAGTCCAGCGTCACCATACATGCACCAAGGGTGCTGATGTTGACCACCGGGAAGAATCTGTCCAGGGCCGCAGCTCTGATTGAGGCTTTCTTACACTGAAGCCACAAATCCCAGGAAAATAAAATGTTGGGTTAGAAATAAATAATTACCATTTGAACACATGTTCACTACAACATGAATTCTCTAAGTAACGAAGGAAGGCAGGAACTGTCGTTGGTGGAACACTCGCTTGGAGCCCTCCTGGGTCTCTTACGTATATGATTTCACTTCACCCTCTTGGCTCTAGATAGTGGATTTCTGCACTTCCCGGTTTAAGAACGAGGAAGCAGAGGCTTTGAGCTGTTAAGACTTGTTGAGTGTTACGGGTCTAATCCGTGGAGAACCAGGTCTGCCTGACTCTGAGAACCTTGCTCTTTCCCACCACGCTCTTTATGTGAGCGTCGTCCTCTGTAGAAGGAGGGTGTTGAGCTGATAGGTGCCTCCCTGCCTAGGTCCACGAGAGCTCACGTTGTCTTCACATTTTGAAAACCCTGAGCGGGACTAGTTTAGGAAGATGCCCAGCTAATTAAAATTGCATGTTTGGGCTATAATTACATCAACTCACTGTGGCAACACTGATAATTTCCCACTGATTAAAAACTCAGATTGGCAATTAAAATGTGTTTCTTTGAATGCTTGCTTAGTAAATGCCCTTTTTGGGCACAATCTTTCAAAACATGGTGCTCTGGGAGGAAACCTAGTCCTTGTGGTCCCTCGGGATGAAAAGATTAGGAACCACTGGGCAACACAGCCTCTGACCTCTCCTAGCTCTGGTCCAAGAGACCCTGAGAGAGCAGTTGTTTTGGATTCACAAGTCTAAAGCTTTTTTATTTTTATTTTTTTAAGATTTTATTTTTTTCCTTTTTCTCCCCAAAGCCCCCCAGGACATACTTGTATATTCTAGTTGTGGGTCCTTCTATTTGTGGCATGTGGGACTACACCTCAGCATGGCTTGATGAGTGGTGCCATGTCCACGCCCAGGATCTGAACCGCCGAAATCCTGGGCTGCCAAAGCAGAGTGTGCGAGCTTAACCCCTCGGCCGTGGGGCCGGCTCCTGGATTCACAAGTCTAGACGGCCTTTCAGTGGTTACCCAATTCTCCGGTCTCCCTAAATACGCAGCTCTCAGCCCCTCCTTCCCACATCCAACAGAGGGGAAAGCATCCTCCTCGGGGCCTGACTGTTCTTCAGTGGTGCGCACCATTGATGTCACACCACAGACAGTTAGAAGGGTGACGGCAAGGAAGTTGGGAGCAGCATCCTCGTCCCCTTCCAAAAGGCTCTTTTCTTCTTCTCTCGTCACTTATGTTAAAAGCTCCAGAAATATTCACAATAAGCAGTGATACACCTGGTCATGATCCCTTACTTTTGTATAACCCATTGTAGGGCATTTATCTTACATCATTTCATTTTATTCTGCAAAATGTAGGCACTTCGAGTTCCGTTTTACAGCTGGGTCAGTAGGCATGGAGAAGTCAGTGAGACGGCTTCCCTGATCCTGGGAATGATGATGTGGACTCAGTTGCATCCTCCAGCTTCTGCCCAGGGTTCTTTCTAGTCCTCTAGCAAAGTTCTAGCAGTTAGAGTCAGGTAGAAACAGCAGTCAGGCCCTCTCACTGTGCATTGGCCCGGTATGAAATAATTAGCCAAAGCTACCCTCGGATATGGCAGGACCCATTAAAAATAACTTTGGGCCTCTTCAGCTTAAAACAGCACATGCTTTAGCCAGTGGCGTCTTCTCTTAGAGGTGAAGCCATCGTGCCACTTGGTGTAACTGGCATCGTCCTTCCTGGCCTGCCAGCTGCGTGTGCATGAGGTAAAACTGGGGCTAACGTTAGACATGGCTCCCCGTCCGAGCCTGACTTTGAGGCTTAGAATTTAAAGCCGATGAGTGAGATTTTGAAAACCAAGTTCAGTAAACCAAGTTTCCTCAAAATATCGAAAATCACTCTGCTGACAATAAAAACTGTTTGTTTGGCTTCATATCCTGTCCAGGCCGTTTTGTAAATTTTAAGTGAGAATCCAAACTGGCTGTGATTGGGAATTCTGGGGTGCATTCTGAAGGGCCACCTCCAGGCGTCCCTCACCCACCTCTGGTTGAAGTTCCCGTGTAGAGTGTGGGCCTCCTGTAACCACACCTGTCACAGGTGCAGGCATTTCTTGGGGGTCAGAGAACCCCCCCACGGTTGTACTGTCGTGTGCTGCCTCTGAAGGGAGGAACGGGGGACGGTGGGCAGTGGGAGGGGAAGCCCCCTCGGCAGGTAGGAAAGAAGACAGATAAGAGAGCTCGGTGACCTGAAACTCACCCAAGTCAGCTGACAGGAAATGGGCTGAGATTCCAGGGGGACGCTTCACTGAGGCAACCTGTGACCAGGGCTGGGCACTGACCAGGGCCACAGGTCCCCGGAAAATCTCTGGGGTGGCCCTCAGCTTGTTGGGTGCATGCTGGGTACTTTGTGCTGTCATGGGCTGTGCTGAGGGGTAGGCCTGTTACATAATTGAGAGTTAAATCGTACCTTGGCAATAATGATACCCTGGAGAAGGAGGCAGCTGATTCACTCTTATCTTCTCGACTTAAACAGTCCCTAATAGGACGAAAAAATGAGATAGTCCTAAGGTCCTTTCTGGAAGAGGCCCTAGAAATCACCTTGCCCTTCACTGTCCCCCACCTACTTCTTATTTTTAAGGTGGGGAGGACAGTATGTCTTATAAACGAATGCTTCTGTGTCTTAAGTTGAGGGCAGACCCAGTGCAGATTCATTTACAGTCACCTGAGCTCCAGGCCAGCAGCATGTGGTTTGGCACTTGTCTCTGTTCTTGCTGAGTGACACACATGTCAGGGCGTCAGCCCTCAGGATGCACGAGGTCTCTCTGATAACCAATCCACAAAACCATCTTCATTCCTGGGATCAGGCCGTGCCTGCTAGAAGGATGCGTTTGCTTCTCCAGGGAGAGTCGGAGAGTCCAGAAAAGTTGTGCACAGGTTTCAGTGCTGGGGTTTATTCGGCCAGACCACACACACTTGCAGGCTTTGAGAAAAGTCTACTAGGAAATATCTCATTTTAAAGCCCATGTTAAGGAATCATTTTTGAAGTGATGCCTTCAACAATATGTAGAAGTTGAGGCGCTTCAAACCGGAACTGCTATTTCTGTTTCTTTTTATGTGAAGAAAACCACAGCTTTAGGGATTGCCACTGATGCTCTTGCACAGCTGATTTCTGAGCAGGTCACGTGTCACTCGTGGTTTTCTTTTTAAGTAGAAGAGAGCCACCCGGTAGCTGCAGTTGTAGCTTCTGCGAGAAGAGCATCCTTTTGGGTCTTGTTCCCCGCCGCATCCACTGTGCCCGGCACGGTTTGAGGCGCACAGTAGGTGCTGAGAATCCACTGACAGGATGAGGAGTTCATTGAGTGGCAGAGCTGGGTTTCCACATGGAACTGCCTGGAAACCTGAGCAGACAAGTGTTTTCTAGTCTCTAGTGAGAACATCTGAAGTTTTCTTTGCAGCCTGAAGTTGCCAGTCAGTTAAAAATAGGTCATTTCCCCACCGAATTGGACTTTAATAGTCTTTGCATCTGAAAATTTGATTTGGACTGGCCCTGTTGGCACTGGCAGAATTGTGGGAGATGTTTCAGGTGACTTGCAAAGCTTCTCTTACAGGCAACACTGAAGGAACCATATCTGTTCTCCTCTTGCTTCAGAGTGTGTCTGGAGCTAAGTTCTCAGAGAGGGACAACCGTGGGTCCAGTTTCAAAATGTCACCGAGACGTGGGAAGGTTCCACATGTTGCACATGAGACTTACAGACAAAACCAACACCCCAAATGTATACACTCTCCGATCTGAAAACTTGGTACAAAATGCTCACGTCTGTCCCCAGCCAAACCTATGCTTGGTCATGACGTTTATTTCCCGTGGAACTCTCTCTGACCCCACATGGCAGAAGCCCCTTTAGAGCAAGAGGTTTACCAGTTGTCTGAGAATAGCTGACTTGCGCCTCCCCTTTCGACTGTGTGGGATCTCTCTAGTCAGTGGACAGTCTCCAAAAGCGTAGACCCTGTTTTAGGCCCCAACCTGCCTGGCCCAGATCCTTCCCCTTTTTGTCTGAGGGGCTAACCTCTCCTTCTGTTTCTTTTGCAGAGTTGGATTACAGAAACTCCTATGAAATTGAATATATGGAGAAAATTGGCTCCTCCTTACCTGTAAGTTCTTCTGCCTCAGGCCTGTGAGGGGACTTGCTTTCTCGCCCTGTCCTTTGTCATGAAAACGCAGGCACTGGCCGCCTCCTGGGTGCAAAGCATCCCTGGGAGCTCAGACCCCAAATCGAGGGCCCTCTGTGCCCACAGCGTCCTGGGTGCACGGCGAGGGGGAACTGGCGCTGGAGGGTTTGAGGTGCATACTCAGTCCTCTTCAGATGGCGTTTTCAGGGGAAAATGATAGAATGTGCTTAGGCTCCCTGAAGAATTACGGTCAGCATCACTTACCAACTGGGATACGTTCTGAGAAATGCGTTGTTAGGGGTCTTCGTCGTCATGTGAACAACATCGAGTGCACTTACACAAACCCAGATGGCATAGCCTACTACACACCTGGGCCACATGGTACTGATCTCATGGGGCCACCGTCATATGCACGGTCCATTGTTGATGAGAACGTCGTAATGCGGTGCATGACCGTACTTGCCTAGACTGAGAAGGAACTGATCAGAGATTTGTTTTTAAAAGGAGAGGGGAGTGGTTTGGTTGTTTTTAAGGTGTATTCTTATCTGTTTTCTTCAAATTAATTGCTTTATGTAGCTGAAGACTGTCTCTTCGGGCGCTAAGCTGCTCCTCTCTCTTGGTTTTAAGTGGTGGTGATGGGCAGCTATGTTCCCTGCTCCTTCTCTGCTGCTGCCGGGGTGTTTGGTTTCCAGCATGCCCTCTCCTTCTGTGCTGTTGTCCAGTGTTGCCCTCAGAGGCATGGAGGTGCCCAGGAGGGCATGAGGCTGTGGCACTAAATGGCCCTGACACCTTGTTCTTATCTGTCTGCATCGTTTATAGCTGCTGGGGTTGCTGCTTCTAAACCACAGTTTATTGTCAGTCAGCAAACCTCGATGGCGGGGCTCATTGCACTGGGTCCTCATGCTCGTCTTCCGCCATTTCAACTGTGGGCTACACGCAGACTGGGGTCTTGTCTGCCCCTCAGTTTATCCTCAGTGGCTGGCATGGCTGCCTATCCAGAGAAGGTGACCTGTAATGCTGACAGACTGAACAGCATACAGCACACCAACGCCTGTGCAATCCTTCTCCCCTTGAAAATGTCCCAACTGCGCACAGTTGCACCTTCTCACTCTGCCTCCCGACTTCCATCCCATTCTGTCTTTCTCTCTCCTCCCTTCTGGGTGGCTCTAGAAAAGCAGAGGCTTTTCCCTGACGAGTTATTTGTACCTATTGAAGAGTGCTCTGCTTTCCACCTCAGTAGCAGGTCAGGCCAACTGTGTCGCCAGGCTGACGTGTGCCTTTGATCCCTGCAGCAGGACGATGACGCCCCGAAGAAGCAAGCCTTGTACCTTATGTTCGACACTTCTCAGGAGAGCCCGGTCAAGTCTCCTCCCGTCCGGATGTCAGAGTCCCCGACGCCGTGTTCAGGGTACGAGCGCCACAATGAGAGAGTTGCGGATCAGGCCGGAGGCCCCCAAGCCTCTGAGCACCTTGGCACTGCTATCCTGGCATCGTTTCCTCTGCATATACTCAGGCAGCCGCATCCCTGTCTCTCTGAAGGTCCATGTGGTCATAAATGCACTGGGTTTGCTACTGACTGCCCGTTGGACTAAGGGGAAATCCTTAACACCTGAGTGTGAGCCCTTTCTGATCGCCCCCCAGTGCACACACGACTTCCTTTTGTTACCTGTCCCGTGGGGAGACAGCGTGCTGCAACCTTCAGAGCCTGAGGCCCCCTGCCCCCAGCCCTTACTGGTTGTGTGACCTGATACAAGTTACTTGGCCTTCCTGTGCTGCAGTTTCCTCATGGGTAAAGTAAGAGTAATTTAAAAAAAATGTGTAGGGGTTTTATGAAGATTGAGCGAGACTTTCAGTCTTACAGGCATCCCCCACTGTGCCATGGGCATGGGGTACCTGTCTTCCAAAGCCATCGGGACAATTAAACTGAGATGCTGTGAGGAAAGCACTTGTCACAGAATCTGGCATACATGAAGTGCCTGACAAATATTTATTAATACGAATGTGGATATTAGCATTCGTCAGGGTCGTGTTCTGAGCTGTGTGGTGCTGGATTGGGTAAGGGGGGCTTTGCTCTAAGATTGGGACCTTCTCGTCCCCTCCTGCCTGCCCCTTTCACTGAACAGGAGTGGAAACTCTTGCTTTGACTTCCAGAACTTACTCCAATTCTGCTGATGAGGATGTTCTTACAACTGTGATGGCGCCATGTGACAGGCACTGTGGTCAGTGCTTTACATGCAGGCAGCGTCTCACTAGATCTTCACAGAGGGGTGCATTGTCTCCACTTTACAGAAAGGAAGCTGAGCTACACTACCCACTACCCAGTCACTCCCCCTCGGGGGCACAACCAAGGCACTGGCAGTCTGCTCAACTGCAGAGCTTGTGACCTTAGCCAGTGGCATCTGTGCTTCTGACCAGCCCTTGTCAGCAGGCCTTGGGAGGAGGCTGGACCACCCTCTCCCTCAGGCTGTCCAGCCTACAGGCTCCGTGGCCACCCAAGATCTGCTCCATTTCCTCTGGGAACGGAGCCCTCAAGTCCAGGTTCCCTTGTGATGTTGACTGGGTGGGGGCATCCTGGCCGATTTCGGTGGGATTTCCATTGGGAAGACTAAAGATGCCGTTTACTTCTTTAGGTCAAGTTTTGAGGAGACTGAAGCCCTTGTGAACGCTGGGGCAAAGATCCAGCATCCTGTGGCACGAGGGCTGGCCCCCAACCAAGACCCGCACTTGCAGGTGTCAGAGAAATCCTCCCAGAAAGAGCTGGAGGCCATGGCCTTGGGCACCGCTTCAGACACCATTGAAATTGTAAGTGGAGTCAGAGGGGCCCAAGATCACTGAGGGTGACACCCAGCCTGCTGGGTCCCATCACCAAGGGGCAGGCCTTTGGAGCAACACTCACTTGGCACCTGATGTGAGGCCCCACCCCATCCCTTTGACCACAGGAGCCAGCCTGGGAAACTCCACACCACAATGATGAGAGAAAGGCTCTCCAGTCTCACCTTTAGTGCTTTACTTACTTTCAGGGTTATTTATTTTCTACTTTTAGTCCCTTAGGGCTAGACTGTTGCTTTGGAGCTGTCATCAGTCTGTACCCTGCTTCTCTGTCCTCTATGGCAGAGGACAGAGAATGGTAGAGCAGGACACTCTCCTTTTGGGGAGCAGTTGGTTTTCTGGGCCTTGGTGATGGAAACCCCCCCTGTTTGTAGAACAGGACTTAGACCTCTCCCCTCCCAGCCCCTGTGGGGCCTTGCCGAGCAAATAGACTTGAGCTGAAGGCTTCCCTCAGCCCCAACCCCCTGCCCATCTAAAATGGACCATCCTTCTAGGTGAATTTTCTTTGTCTTTCTTTTGCTTCCCTCCCAGCAGTCCCCAGGAGGGTTTGAGGCCATTGAGTTAGTGGGTGACTTTTGTTGTTCTGGATTGTAGACCATTCATTCGTCTCATACATCAGATAGTTATTGAGCTCCTACTGTGAGTCTGGCAGTTGGATAGTGTAGAAATAATAATGAGCTAAAAAAAAAATCTCAACACGAGTCCAACCATCTCTCCAGTAGATACTGTGGAAGGACTCAGGTGTGGTTCAGCTTCTACAGAGTTGGCTTCTGATTTTGAAGTCTTTCTGATCCTCCAGGAGACACTTTTTTGTTTCAAATCATCTTTCCATTATTTAGAAAATGACCTTTACCAAAACCTTACTTCCTTTGATATTTACACTTGGAGGTGTTTTCTTGATAAGTTATGTTTGGAAAACCCATCAACTAGCTTGTCTCCCACCAACCAAGATTTTCAAATCAATAAGCAAGAGGTTGCTTTGCTCCCACCGACTGGTTAGGGAGTGAAGGTGGTGTGGGGGTGGGGAGGGCGCCTAAAGCTGTGCTTTTGGGAAGGGAGTTGGGCCTGCCAGTCTTCAGATGCCCATTGTCAGTGTGTGGGAATTAGTCCAGAGGAAAAGGAAAGTATTGGCACCTAATTGGTACTCTCTTTAGCCTTAAGGCAGAAATGTCCAGCAAATAGATGCGTGGTCCTTGCTTGGAATCAATATCACTCTGCTCTCCTCTATTTTTCCTCTGTGTCCTCCTCTGCCGGCCTTCAGACAGCTCCTGAGGGCTCCTTTGCCTCTGCTGACGCCCTCCTCAGCAGGCTGGCTCATCCAGCCTCTCTCTGTGGTGCGCTTGACTATCTGGAGCCCGACTTAGCAGAAAAGAACCCCCCAGTATTTGCTCAGAAACTTCAGGTTTGTAGCCCACGTGTGACCTTTTGGGAGTTTGTCAAAACCTCAGTAGAGAATGAACCTCTGAGCCCCACATGCAATGAGGCAGGACTTAAAGAGGAATTGCTGAAAATGTTCCAAGTGAAATGTCTTCCCCTCAAAGACTGATATATGTGGTGTTCTTTACCCAAGACGCCAAAATGATATAAATTTTGTGATTCCATATGGAACAAACCATTTGTACAGTATTTCAGTGTGGAAATTGGACCCAAACAGTCATTTTTCAGAAGTTTTGATAGCCCCAAAAGCAGTTTCTGTGATTTATTCACAGAACCAAGGGTATTAGATCACCCTGGAGCCGAGCTATTTATATATAGGAGGCCATCCCAGACTCCCATTGAGATAACATCTGGACTTGGTCTTGCATCTGGAACCAAAACAATTATCTACTCTGTGCTTTACGTGTGACAACTTAATTTGATACCCGCCAGACTAGGCTGTTCAGAGCCAGCTTCGAGAGATTGTTAACAGTCATTGGAGAAATGCAAATCCATTCATGGCAATTGTTAGGCAACTTTATATTAAATGAGCAAAAGGAAAAAAATCGAAGGAAACAGTGCAGTATAAATTTTGACCCCATTTTAAAAAAAATCATTTCATATTCAACTGCATAGTACTTCCCGACAGACATTCCAAAGGGCGAGTCAAAAAAAAAAGGAAATTAAACACTTATTTCATGATCTGCTGAGGTGTTAATTGTGAAAGAGAGCCAGAGTGTGTGTCTTTCCTGCGTCCCTGTCATGACACGTTCATGTGGCGCCTTCATTTCTCTGATGTGGGAAACATTGACACCCGGTCCTGACGCGCTTCCCCTGCGATGTGCTCACACCCGCCCTCCGGCAGGAGGAGCTAGAGTTCGCCATCATGCGGATAGAAGCCCTGAAGCTGGCCAGGCAGATTGCCCTGGCTGCCCGCAGCCGCCAGGACGTCAAGGTACCAGTTTGCTGCTGCCGTGCGCTGCCTCCTGAGAATGTTGTGTGGTCCAGAAGCTTCTTTGCTAACCATTGCCCAGGCAGGCATTGTCAGTGTCCAACAAAGTATAATTTTCCAAAAAGCTGAAAGCATAACTCACATAAGTATACACCGTGCATACGTCTAAGATCTGTTTAACTCAGTAGTGAGGGAACCGGCAGGATGGGAAAGCTGGCTGAATGGAACAGAGTATGAGAAATGGATGTACAGAGTCAGTGGGGTAAAGGCGAGAATAAGATCACAGAGTTAGATATAAAACTGGTTAATACTGGGTTAAAAGGACAAACAAATTGTAACCTTTGAGGTTTATTTTTTTCCTACGGAAATCATTTGCTTCTCTACTGAACAAAAGTAATTTGCAATTTTCCATTGTCTGCAAGTTAATATCTAACTCTGCTGAGACTGGACCCTAATCAATAGTAAATAGTAAGTGAAACCCAGACCTTCCTGAGGTGTCAGATGACCCCTACGTCAGGGGTCAGCAATCCTTTTCTCTAAAGGGCAGATAGTAAATATTTTAGGCTTTGTTGGCCATATGGACTCTGTCGCAACCACTCAGCTCTGCGACTGGAGCTCGAAAGCAGCCACAGACAATACATGGATGAATGGGTGTGGCGGGTTCCAGTAAAACCTTTTTTACAAAAAAGGGCAGCAGGTTGGCCCGCAGACCAGGTTTGCTCACCCCTGCTCCAGAGTGGAATGTGATATTGACAGGGCATGCAGAAATCTTTTTGCCTGGCTTCCAAGTTGAGGGTAATTTTGCTTAACAATTTGAGTGAGTTGCTGATGACATGCAAAATGCTGGGTGGCCCTGGGAGGTTCAGCCCACCCCCAAGTCGGTCAGACCAGGGCTGGACCCCAGTGTGTCCGTGGCCTTGAAGGAGTTGGTGAACCTCTCTGAGCCTCAGTTTCCCATCTGTGAGATGAGGCTGTGAACAGCGGGTTGGCAGGTAGCTGTAAGGACTACAGGTGATACATGGAGAGCAACACCGTGCGTGGCGTGAGTAGCTGTGCGATAAACGAAACCTGCTGTTGTTAGCTGACCCTCACTTTTGCTCTGTTACCTGATCAGACGCTCCGAGCATCTAGCTCATGGAGTGGGTCCACGTCCCATTTTACAGATGGGGAAGTGGAGCCATGGAACCAGCCTGAGGCCTGACAGTGACCTGGCCTAACGGGAACAAGAACTCAAATCTCCGAATGGGAGCCCCTTGCCTGTCCCTCTCAAGAAACGTCTCATCTGGCAGAGGGGCCGGTGGTTTCTCCCATCTGTCGTCCTTGTTATAGGATCAGAAGTTCACCTACATCTCCTGCCCTGAGGGCTCCCCCGTGTGGTTTTCCTGGAGCCACACGGGGCCCCCTCCAAGAGACAGCTCCCAATGACAGAAGGTGGCCACACTGTGAGTGTCCAAACCGGCAACAGTGGGACCCAGGGCAGAGACAAGAATGTAAATACAGATTGCCAGTGTCCTTGTTCTTGTTGCCAACCCATAAACTTGGGCTTAATTTCCACGAAAATGAGATTTTTAGAAAGTACTAAGCAGTGAGGATTTTTTCCCTAATTGATTTATTTCTTGATATCCTTGGGTAGTGGTTTCAAGACAGAATGAATTACTTGAAGTTTGGCCGCTATTAATAGGGTGTACAGTATTCCTGTCCAGAAGTTGGAGACAGAATTGAGCATGTTCCGAGAAGTGGTTCAGATTGAGTGGAAAGCATTCTGGAGTGCCCGGGTCCCCCTGCCTCCTTCCTCCAAGAGCGCATCAGAGATGGCGGGCGGCACTATTGGCCAGCAGTTGACTTCCTCGGTTACAGTCTGTTCTCAGACCATGTGTCCCGATTCTGATTTAGGAAATATTGTCACATGGATCTACAGAGTGTGAGTCGGAGAGACAACCCCAGCTGCCTCCTTACATATTTCAGAAGGGCATGCTAAAAGAAATACTCTGTAGGTGTAGAACCGTCTTGGAGTGTAAGGAATGTTTTTCTCAACCACAGTACCTTGTACTGCTCTGTAAGAAATACGTTACCTGGTGACCTTGGAAAGTGGATGCTCTTTCCTGTAACTAACCAGCCTGAGGGTGATCCGTTTTCTTTAACCCAGTTAAGTTCCTGTGGGTTTCTTGTTCATATAGATGCTTGATTGCCCCTCACTGCATTGGAAGCTGCTGATCTGTAAGAAAAGAGCAGCTGTGTATCCAATTTGCTCTTTTTTCTGCCCATCTATTTCAGCTGCAGGTGACATAGCCCAGGCTTTTTGGCAGCGTAGTCCTAAACTGTTGATAACACAGAAATGAAATCGCTTGGAATGAAGGAAAGTCATATTGAGGAGATGAGAAGCCACATGAAATATCATGGGGATGAATTCTGGTTGCTCCTTCAAGCAGCTTCAACTTGCATCTCCCTTTCGACTGAGAGCCCGCTGAGCCGGCCTTGGAGGGACCACAGCGGTTTGCTCTGTCTCATTAGTTAGAAAACATTAGAAAGGAGGAAAACTCCATAGGGGCTGGGATGCCACGCGGTAGCCCACTTATTGCTTTCCTTCCACACACTTGTGGCCCAGCTAAATTTGGTGTGTCCTCCTGGGGGTGAAGCTGACCAGGGTCGTTGGCTACGTGGTGCTGCAGCCCTGAATTTAACACTAAATGAGGCTAGATAGAACCTAAGTGTCCTACCTGTGTGCTTTCCGAGCGGTGCAAGGTGTGCGGGGTGCTGATTTGACTTAATTTGTGTATATGACAGATGCTAGTCATGATCCCCAAAGCCATGGGCCCTTCTGGATGAGGGGACCCGAAATAGAGAAAGAAGGATGTGTCTACATAACTTAGGGACAAGGATCACACAAATGGCAAGCTTCAGGACGGGAGGAGGTCCTAGGAGCAGGCATCGCTGGGAGGGAAAGCGGGGGTTAATCCTCAGTGTCTGATTCCTCCAGGAGTCCTGGCCAATCAAGGCAGACACCTGGATAGTACGTCAGCGGGAGAAAGAGTTGGGTCTGGGCAACCTGTGTGGTTGGTGAGCAGCCTGGCATCATAGGCTCCTTCTCTCATGCTGTGTCCAGAACCTACCTCCCCGACCCCGAGTTTAACAACACAATGCCTGAAAGCCATAAGAACAGTCTGATGAGCAGTGACAGAGGGCTGGCACGTGGGGTTCAGCTTATTTGCCATTTTTGAGAATTTGTGCGTATCGCCTGCAGCCTGTATTGAGAAGGATTGAGGCCAGGTCTTGACTCAGTGGGTGGTGCCTGGTGGTGCCTCCCTGCGGGGAGGGATAAGGCACTTACTGAGTGCCTTCCTCCTGTTTGCCATCCTGAGCTTGGGAACCTCCCATTGTCAAATTTGGATGGGACAGCGCCAGGGTGAAGCCACTCACCTGTCCAGTGCCATATAGCCCTGACACCCCCTCAGATACCCAGCCCGTGTCCAGCTCCATGACCTTGGCCCAGCTTGCTGTGGTCTCCCTCCCTGATCTCGACTCCTGCTCCCCACCCCCATGCATGCCTCTCACACTGCTCTCCTGGCCCAGCTTCCAGACAGGGATCCTATCTTGGTGCCTTGGTCCCAGACATGGCAGTGTCCCCTGAGGCCTGGCAACAGAGAATTGGCCACAAGGAGGAGCTTGGGTGAGTGACAGGACCCCTGCCCCTGGCTGCAAGGCCAGAAGGACCCCAAGCATGAGGTCCACAGGTCTTACTGGGGTGATGGTGGCCAAGGGGTCCTCGTCGGGACCAAGACTTGAGGGAGTGGATTGGGGGGTTGGAAGCTGGTTCTAAAGGCTCAGGGCTCTCTGGGGCATGGGCTTTTCACATTTTAATTTGTGATTCTAGTGGCTTTTTGGTCTCTCTGAAGTAGCAAGTGGGAGATTATGTGAGAGAAACAAAGCTTAATCTCTCTGATTTTAAACAATCTGCAAGAGACAAACCTATTAATTTCAGTGAAAAGCAATTCTTGGTTGTAAGAGAAAACCAGGGTGTGTACCTTGAATTTTATTAACATGCAGATACTCAGGCAGTAATTCAAGTGGGTGCTGAAGTCATCTGTTCCTTTATTGAAAACACCAGGTGGCCAGGATGAAAGGGGAGAGGGAAGGGCTGGCTGTGGTAGTAACCCTTTGCATTTACTTAGAAAGCTCCTTTATTTATTTTTCATCCCCCTCCTTGTTTTACAAAGGACTTTAGGCAGCTTAAAGATCCTTAGTTCTTGTGTTGGTCATGTTTAGTTTCCACCCAGTGTGATAAAGTTAGTTTTAATTCATTTTCTCCTGCACTTTAGAGAGCTGGTTTATTTGGGGAGTCAGAACTGAATCTCCTTCTTGGAAATCTTTTGGCCAAATCTCTCAGATGCTCAATTTTTTCATCTTCAGAAGGACCAGGATGCGTTAGATGGTGTCTAGTGTTCTTTCCATTTTGAAATTTTATTGTTCTTTTTTTTAATCAAATAACACACTATTTTACTTTTTTTAAAAAAATAGGAACAGTTTTTTAAAAAAAACGCTATTCAGAATCTTGTGTTTATGAACTTAATCCATAAATACAAATATTGCATCTTGATGTCTAGGTATGATTTTCCATTTACTTCCTAAGAAGTTTCCCACATGACAAGTAGACCCTTCAAAACATTTCCAGCAGCAGAGGTGAAGCCACACGTGGGAGGGCTCTGCCCCATCGTCGGTCCTTCTGCTGAGCAGTCCATCTTGGCTGTGAACTTGTGTTCCGGTCAAATGTCCTTAACAGATCTGTTTAGGACCTGAGATTGAAAAGGTCATGGTATCCCATTTGACACCTGGGTGTAACTCTAGGATCTGGTTGGACAAGGGCTGAGCGCTCCCCTCTCTAACCGGCAGTAATCATTTGGGTCCCACTGCAGAGTTAGCCAAATAACTCAGGCAAGGCAACCAAAGCCGTTTAGTTCACCTTGCATGTGTACCACTAACTGGTCCTAACTCGGTAATCTCCAGTCCTATCCATTAAGCTTCTGCCCGAGTCTTCTGAGCTGTCGCCCTCCTCAAGTTCACTTCCCTGAGGCTGGAGGAGGGTCGGCATGCCTGTTGTGATTGGAGAGAGAAACACTGCTCACGTCCCTTGGGGGGGGGTGGCGCCCCCTTCCCAGTTACTGTTGGTTCTTTGATCTTAGCTGCTGCCACTGACAAGACAAGTCCTCATCGTTCTTTTCCCATGTCTCTCCCTGTGTCTGCCATGCTGTGGCTTTCTGTCCACTTCTCAGTTTCTGCTCATAAATTTCCCTCGGAAGAGGCAGTGGCCCCTGTCAGACCACCATTACCTCGCAGTGAATTGGACTCTCGCAGCCAGCAGGGAGGTTTGCCTGGGCACGCCCAACGCCCCGGGAGGTTAATGAATCGGACTGGGGGTGCGGTTGGATTGGTGTTTCCTTTGCCGTAGAATTAGACTGACACCCTCAGCTGTCCTGGTTGAGATGCTCCTAACACCGCATTTTGAGTGTGCTGGAAATTGCTGAGTGTTTTGTGCAAAGAGTGGCCGAGTAGCCCCAGACCTCTCCTGCCTCCCTGGAGGCTGGTGTCTGTCCTTGCAGAAGGCTGCAAAGCCGTCACACCTGTGTCAGTTGGGGTGGGGGGCGGGGAAGCATTCCGCTTGTTGAGGGTCTTATCAGCAAATGTGGATATCAGCCTTGATCCGGTTTTCAATTTTCCCATTGACACAACAGACTTAGGGCAACATAACTCCAACATAGCTCTTACCTTCCGGCATCCAGAAACTAGCTTGTTGAAGGTGACGTTGGTTGACACCTCTGGTAGGCTTCAAGCTTTGTGTGAATCATATCCTTTCAAACGGAGCTTAACAAATACCACCCCCCCCAAATTGAAATGTGGACAGTCGTACAAAAATATCAGATCTGCCGTTATTTAAAACTAGGCAAACGCAGACTAGAATTCAACAGCGTTCACCATCAGGCTTTGTTTTGGAAGGGGAGCCTACTGGAAAATGACCTTGCTTCTTAGGCACTGTGCCTGAATGCCTCTGCGTCTGATAAATGGCCGTGATAAAGCAGGCACCAGACACGCCTGACTCCAAGGGCTGGGGGTTGGGGAGGCCTCCGCTGTTAGCCGCTTTGTCTGCCTGTACAGGTACAAAATGATCGATTTCCCTAGATTGTATCCGGCATTGCCCCATCCATTAGTTTTAGCATTTTCTCATACTTTTGATGTTCCTTGTTTCAAAACCATACAACTGACCCATTCATGAAAGGATGAACGCAGTCCCCTTTGTCGTATGATTGATGTTAACTTCTTCTTTTTTCTGTTTAATTAAAAACCATTCCACAGAGAGAGGCTGCTCACCCAACAGATGTCTCCATCTCCAAAACAGCCTTGTACTCCCGCATCGGGACCACCGAGGTGGAGAAACCCGCAGGCCTTCTGTTCCAGCAGCCGGACCTGGACTCCGCACTCCAAATTGCCCGAGCAGAGGTATCGTGGTGTGTGGCTCAGAGAAGGCACGCTCTGTTGCCCTGGGAAAAGCTCTGGTTTCTGCCACATGTGAAAAGAAATGTATACATATATATATACACACACACACACACACACACACCCCCCACGGTCCACAAAACCAGTGTCTTTGGAGACAGACTTTCTCCTCTGACCACCACAGGCAGAGATGGTGGCAAATGTGGGTTTTGATCTTTCTGGACACTGTCGTTTAAGGGGGCTTTATGGCCTTGTTTGATTTATAACAAAGATCAGTCGCTGCCCAGGGGGCATGGTGAAAGTCTGATGTCTGGCTTATTTCTGTTTCATACTCGGGGAGAGTCTCTGAGTACAATCCTGCTTGGGTCTAGGAAGTTTTAATTCTTCATGTATTCGATGTCCCCTGGTCTTCAGTCGCTGTGAATTGCTCAGATCTGACTTCACTCATTTGGGGTTAACCTTTCCCCTCTTCTTCCTGATCCTAGATCATAACCAAGGAGAGAGAGGTCTCAGAGTGGAAAGATAAATATGAAGAAAGCAGGCGGGAAGTGATGGAAATGAGGTCAGTTGTGATGCTCCGGCTTCCTGGTCCCTGGGGATGCTCACCTGGGCTTTGATCCCAGCTGGAGCAGCTGTGGCCCGCGTCTTCTAGAGTTATCTTTCCTTTAATACACAAGGGTCATATTTTCACAGAAGTATTTTTAGTATATTACTATTATTAAAATACCATGCACGAGTTAAATAACGCAATCAAATAAATATATGTACAATGAGAAACAATCTCCTTCCTGCTCAGCCTCTAGTCCCACACCCTCAGGTAACCGCTGTGCACTGTTTCTGGTGCATCCTTCAAGAATTTTCCATTTCTGAACGCAAATGTGTGAATGGATCGATATAGCCTCTGTTTTTCTTCAAAAGTGGGGTGAGGAAATATACCTTATCCTACACGCCTTTTTAACTGAGCATATCTCGGGCAGATTTTTATACATGGCGACCTCATTGTTTAACAGACATTTAATTGTCCCTGTGTGGTCTGACACAGTCAGTTTCACCGGTCTCCATGGATGAGCTTTTGGGTTATCCCCGACTTTGGGTGGATGGTTTCTTTATTTGCTGCATACTGTGACAGAAGTGTGGCAGCCACCACGTGTGGACTGCCAGCCGTGTGCTGAGCGCTGTGCTTTTGGTTAGACACGGTCTCTGCGTCTCCCTCCAGAAGGGATCAGCCCTGTCTGACAGTGGAAGGCTCAGGGAGGTTAGGTGACTTTCCCGAGGTCCTGGAGCTTCAAGTTAGAAGAATGTGAATTTGAATCCACCTTTCTGACTCCAAAATGCAGACTCTTTTCCCTGTGCCCAGCTGCCTGCCTCCCTTGTTCTCAGCTCGTTTCCTCCTTTGTTTTCTCTCAACACATCATCTTAGAAACTAAGAAACCATCTCTGGGGCTAGAACTTACCCTTGGGATGTGATTTTTAAAACTATATTGCAGGTGGCATTTAAAAAAAATATGTTTTGTTTTGTTTTTTGGTGAGGAAGATTGGCCCTGAGCTAACATCTGTGCCAGTCTTCCTCTAGTTTATATGGGATTCCGCCACAGTGTGGCTTGATGAACAGTGCTAGGTCTGCGCCTGGGATCTGAACCTGCGAATCCCAGGCGGCCAAAGCAGAGCACACAAACTCAACCACTAGGCCACTGGGCCGGCACTGACAGGTGTCATTTTTAAAGCAACTTTGGCCCAAACCTTTGCTGTGACCACCCCGCTCTGGTCTGCCCTGTCCAGGTTGTGGCTGCTGCCAGGTCTGAGAACTGCTCATGAGTGGCGCAGTTCATTCTTCCACACACCTGCTCTCTTCAGCACAAAAATTAAGTCATGGATTTTGAATGGCAAGAGACAATTTCGATTAGAGCACAGCCGTTTTAACGAGATAGAGGATCTGGTACTGTGCTGGGAATCCACAGCAGCCTTCATTGTTAAGTCTCAAAGTTTGGGAGTAAGGGAAAGATGGATTTTTAAAACTTGCTCGAAGAATTAGTACACTTACAGTGCACTTAATTGCAATAGCAGCTGCTGGTTAATTATCAAAATCAATTGCATTCCTGGCTACTATTTTAAGTAGCAAGCAAATCATTTAGGTAATCATATGCTCCTGTTTTCTGGGTCAAATAGTATCTTCCTGAAAATTCTCCTCTTAGTTCCTTCTTTCTGCTGATGCTTTTTGTGACCATTTCTGGAGGTTAATCTTAGTGTGCTATTTCACATTCAAACTGAGGCCCTGTAGTTGCAGTATTTTAAACTCTCTCTTTTTTTTTTTTTTTTTGGTAGGGGAGTAGGGGAGGGCACTGGGTAGCTTGTTTTTTGCCTGCACTGAAAATGACAGCAGGGCCCACTGGGAAGGCTGGCAGTTCTGTCTCTGATCCCTTTTGCCTCCCCAAGCAGAAGTAGCACAGACGGGGGCTCCATGGAATGCTATTTACTAACCAGTACGGTAGGATTTTGGGGTGTCACCGGCTGGCGCAGCTGCCCTGGTGTTTGATGGCTCGACTGTCAGCCCTGTCAGCCTCTGGAGTCAGGCTCTGCTTCCTAGCTGCTTCTGGGCCTGTTCCTTAACTCTGTGCCTCACTTTGCTCATCTGTAAAATGGGGGTAAATCACAGTGCTTCGAGGCAGGAGAGTGTGAGGCTTATGAACAAAGGCTTCAGAGGCCAAGGCCTGGATTTGAATCCTCGCTCTGCCTCTTTATAGCCTGAGGATCCTGGAACGGCTCCTGAGTGACCCTGTGCCCCAGTATGCCCATCAACAATTCTGGGGACAGTGATGGCTGCACCTCTTAGGGTCCTTGAGAGAAGGAAATGAAGATACAGTGCGGCTGAAACAGCTTTAGGGCCCTGGTCTCCAGGACTCTAAGAGGACACGTCGCTTACCTGCTGTGGCCGGCCTCTGTCCTCGGCGGTGATGGGTGCAGGCGGGCAGCCTCAAAGATCCGTCACCGCTGTGTGACTCCAGATGCAAGGAGGTGTTGTTCAATCACAAAAACACAAAGTGCTTCCATGTAGGATTTAGAAAGAACCCAGGTGGGCTCATGTCGGGGCCTCCTTTCTTTTGGGTCTGCCCTTGAGTGGGGCACTGACCTTGGGACCAAGAAGCCAGCCACAGACGCCCAGCAGCCATGAGGCCTTTAAGCTTTGCAGAGTGCGTTCTGCTTTCATTGTCCTTTTCAACCTCATTTAATTCCCCCCACAGCCCTGAAAGTCAGGGTCTGGGGTCGCTCTCAGTCTACCAGGGCGTAAGCTGAGCCCCCGGCATCTGTGACTGACTTGTCCGAATCACGCGGCTGGGAGAGGCAGGGCCAGCTGTAATCAGGGTCCAGCTCTGTTGGTGGCTAGCAGCTCTTGGACTCTTATGGAGGGCCATTATTGGATGATGTAAGTGAAACCCCCAAGTCTTTTTTGAGAGCCTCCTTCCAGAAGGTTGAGTTTGGAGGGAGGGCTGGTTCACTCCTGGGTCCTCCCACCTGGGGGCAGCAGTGAGGCAGTCTCACCAGCAGGAGATCTTAGTGCTTTTGTGCAGCTACTGTTTAGTGAGGCTACCCAAGAAGTGCAACTATTTTCTCCCCCTACCCCCACCCGCCCGTTGCCAAACACAGGTGACTAAGAAGTGGCCCCTAGGCCTTCAGGAGCTTCTACTCACGTACTATGATGTCAGGTATATGAGGTGTTTTAGAAGAAGTTTCAGATAAAATGTTATAGAGTTCCAAGGAGAAATGAAGGAAGGCTCCCTGGAGGAAGTAGCATTTGAATTGGACTTTGAATAACAGATAGAAAGTGAACAACATGAGCAGGGTCATGGAGGTGAGAAAGCCCAGAGCAAACAAAAAATTATTTGTTGTCGTTGAACTATCATGTTCACGCAGTGGCGTGGAAGGAGGTAAGATTGCTGAGGGAGATCAGGCCTGGGTGCGGAAGGCTTCAGTGGCCAGGCTGAAGGTTTGGCTTATTTTTTTCTCAGTGGACAGTGCGGGGGACACTGAAGGTTTTGCACAGGGGAGTGATGCGTTGAGAGTTGTGCACTAGGAAGTGAGCCTGTTTGGGTGTGCCAGGAGAGGGTTGAGGTTGGAGGTGACCCTAGAAGTGTGAGAAATGACATGTGTCCTCTTGTACATTGGTCAGGCTGTTGATGTCCAGCACATGGGCCCCTGTGTGAAATTAAAAACTGTTCTGTTGTCATGGTTCCAACATGCTGTCACTTCTCTTACAGGAAAATAGTGGCCGAGTATGAGAAGACCATCGCCCAGATGATAGGTGGGTGTCCCGGCCGGCGGGGCCCAGCCTGCCCTGAGGTTTCTAGGCTCTGGGGAGGGCTTTGCAGGTAGACACTGCGCATGTTCCTCCTAGGCTCCTCTCGGAGCGTGAAGTCCTTCAGGGAGGGGCCAGAACATCCCAGAATGTGGCTTCACCCCAGGGCAATGAGCCTGGGGACCTCCCGGAAACACCTGCTCAAATGTGTTAGCATTATGCATGGCTCCGGGAAGCCGTGGCAGTCACCTCGATGGCCACCGTTTGAGCAGCCAGGACTGTCCACCTCGTGGGGAAAGAGATTTGGGTTGTTTCCTGAGATGTTTGGGGGCTTTTTTGCTCATGGGAGAGACTAAGAATCAAATCCTTAAACCCTAATTTAGTCTAGAGTCAAGTGACAGAATACCCCATCCAGCCCTTACACAAGGTTCTAGGACAAGGACAGTAGAACATGTGGCAATCCAGCTGTCCGCCCCTGCTTCCGCCTGTGTTATGGCAGACCGTGTTAACTAGTCACCACGCTCTTTCTCACCGAGGTTGGACACTGCCTCAGAATCCATCTTAACACAGCATCCCAGGCAGCCAGTACTGACAGATTCCTTTGGTCTACAATAAAAGAAGGGCGCAAGTCACAAGTTATACACACCTGGCTCTTTTTTTTTCTTTTGTAAATAATGAAAAAAGATCTTGCAGAAATTCTAAGCCCAAGTTTTTACACTAATGATCACTAGTCAAAAATGATGTTATGACTCTAGGGGGTTGGGGAGTTGTTTGTTTATTCGCTTAGGTCTGGGATACCAGTCTTTGAAAAATCTTTTCCTCCTGAAGACATCCGGAGAAAGACCGCAGCTCACCACAGACCGCAGTTTCTGTGTCCCGTCTTGACGCTGTGCTAGCAGATGACGCCCCCCCCCCCAAACGTTCGGGGGTGCGTCACGCCACACCTCTGCCTTGTCCCACCATGAATATGACAGCAGCCTCGGGAGTGTGAGGAGGCCGGTAGCTGAGTGCCCCCATTCAAAGGGGCTTTAGTTTTGAGTTATTACAATAAAAGGCCATTTCTCCCGGAGCTCAGGGGGGAAGCCCATTCGGGTGTTTCTAAGGCTCAGCCTCCCGGGGTCTGCTGTCTATAAACTGAAGCCTCTTCATTCAATTGGTATAACAATTTATGATGCGTTTGGAGGAGGTGAAACAAAACTCTTGGAACTGAAACTGCCAGTAAAGGTGGTTGAGATGGGGGATTTATGTCTTCCAATATACGGCGTTTGGCAAGCCGAGCTCAACCTTTTGGCCTCCTGGAGTCTTGGGAGGTGCAAACGTCACTCAGACCTACCGTGGCTCATCTGGAAACAGCCTCCTGCGTCTCAGAGTCATGCATCCTTATTTTTGCTCTTGGTGATGACGTTTAGGCCAACATTGAAATGGGGTAAAAGGACGTGAGCCTTCGCCCTGACTGCAGGCTGCCCAGAGCCATCTTTTACGCTCCGCTGGCAGTTTTGATGGGAGCAGACGTTCCCTCTTGAAAACTAAAAGAGCAGGAATCTCTCTAGTTCACCTGGGTGGTCTGTCCTCGTGACAAAAACTGTTCAACTCTGATGCTTTCCTCACAGCGTATTTCCAGGTGACAGTAGTTAGAAAATTTTCAGTTCCCCACGGTCTGAGGATATGTGGGACCCTGACTCCAGGGACTGTGGCCACATGCCCACCCCCTCCCCCAGGTCCCTGTACCCCGCCCCCGGAGAGCTGGTCTGTTTGGCCTAAGGGTCCCTCTCTTCAAGAGCTGTGAACTTGGCCCTTTTTAGCATTTTCTGTTTGGGGGTGTTCGAGCCACCCGCAGTGGCTCCGTGAGACTCCAGCAACCCTGGCTGGAAGCAGCATTGTCACTCAGGGTGGTGTCACACCGTGTGTCCGTTCCTTGTTCCCCATCCTCACGCTCCCATTCACTGCCACTTTTCCAGAACTGTTCTCATCAGAAAGGTGGCACGTCCGTGGTTGTCACCCATCAGTCACTGTTGCAGGTCATTGATTAGGGCCATTGCAGATTTCGGGGTCCTCATGTCCTTGTAGAAGATGGTGTGGGTCCAGGGCACGGCTGGGACCTGCTGTGGCTGTGGGTGGGACCTGCTTTCTTTCTGGGCAGGTCTCCATATGTGGCAGCACATCCGCATGTCTCATCTGGATTCCATATTTTTCTTGTTGTTTTCACTCACTCAATCAGCATTCCTCATGGACGGGAAACTCAGGCCCAGAGAGCTTGGCAGTTCAGGACCTGAGCGAACGTAATAGCGTTTTGAATTTAAAACCAGTTTCCACCCCACCTACTCGAGCCCTTCCTGGCTCCAGGCAGGCTCTGTGGCCCCCATTTAACCTCCACAAATGCTCCACACCGGGGTGACATCTGTCCTGCCATCATTGTCTGTTCTTATTGTGTGTTACTAAAGAGAATATGTTTTATTAAGTTCAAATATTGAATATTTAGAATTCAGAACAAAGAGAGATTTCTGTGCTTTCTGCATTCCAGGTTGTTGCAATTGATTTTTTTTTCTGCTCTCCTAACAACTGCCCTGATTATCTGTTTTGCTTCCATTTTCTGTTGCTTCTTGCCCTTTGCTTGCAAAACAAACAGGCAAGCCTGGTAAGTAAATGCTTTTCACCTAATTTGACACCTGCCCATTGCAACCCTCATTTGTTTGTTTTTCTATTTTTGTTACTTTTGCTTTTGTGTGTTTGCCACATTCCCCACATGGTTTCATCAGGTTTTGCCTGAAAAAGCCAGAAAAATCTCCAGGGGCATTGTTTTGCTGTTAAGGCTAGAGCACCTTTGGTTTGGGGCTGATTTCCTGATTTGAAGAACCTAACAGGATTTGTAATTTACGCAAAGATCCGTGACGTGCTCCCACCTCCCCAAACTCCTGGGAACTGGGAAATCTGTTTTTCCAGGGGTTATCTGGGGAGGAAAGGAAACCTGAGGCCGGCTGGGTCTCAGGTCCAGGAAGTCAGATGGACTCCGTTTGATAAATGGCTCCTTTACCGGCCAAGTGAAACGTACACATGCTTGAGACCGGCTGGAAGGCGCACTGTGCAGTGAGGAAGGCTGAGGAGGCAGCTCACATTCAAAGGATGAAAACAAACATTTGGCACTCGCAAAACTGCCAAACGCCCTTTCTTTTAGGAGTCTAGATGGAACAAGCTGATTGCCGGCAGTTCTGTTCTCACTTACGTTAAAAAGCTCCCCCTCCGTGCGTCACTGTGGTGTGACATCATGCCAGTTTGGGAATGCCGATGATGTTGTTGATAACGGTCATTGACACTGGGTTCTTACTACATGGCGAGCGCTTCATATACATTCTCTCCTTTAATCTTCCCCCAAACACCATGAGACACATACTGTGATCCCCTTTCAGGGGAGGAGGCTGACACAGAGCTTGTTAGCCCCGCCCACGCTCTCACAGCTGGGACATGGCAGAGGCAGGACTAGAACTGGGGCGGTCAGACTCAGAAGCGTGGGTTCTTCGCCTCCGCCCTGGTGGCGGGAGCTCTGAGCGCCAGGCTTGCAGAGACGTCAGGCATCCTCTGAGCCAGTGGGTCTCCCAGCATGCTCCCCGGACCAGCCGCCTCAGCATCACTGGGGACCTTGTCCCAGATGCCGATCCTCGGCCCCACCCCAGGCCTACTGAGTCAGAACCCTCTGAGGGGGAGTGTAGCAATCTGTGTTTGAACAAGCCCCCAGCTGATTCGGATGCACACTCACATGTGAGAACCCCTTCATTTGGAAATGAGCCCCCGAGAGTCAGGACTTATGAGCAAGTTTATCTCAGGGCAGGAGCTAAAACCAGGACATGGCCTTCCTGTTCTGTGCTTTCCCCTCTACACCACATGGCGAGAATATGCCTGACTTCAGATACAGAAAGATGCCCATCAACTCTAAGGGAAAAGAACCCAAAGCAACATTGGCTTTTAAGGGTGCTGTGTCCTTCCAGGTCAGTTACTAAGAGGCTGTGTGGAGACGTGCTTACGAGCACGGCTTTGGGTTTGGGGCTGGCTCTGCCGCTGCCTCAGTGAGTGAGTGACTTAGCTCTTAAGGCCCTGTTCACCTTCTGTGAAATGGAGATGAGAAACCTGCCCAGGTTGTTGCAAGGCCCCAGTGGCTCATCTATTGCACGGGCGTGGGTCGAGGTGTCATGTGAGTCAGGCACCTCCTGGGCCCTGGGACAGAGCAGTGGACAAAACTGACTCAGGACCCTGCCCTTGTGGAGCGTGCGTTGTAGGGGAGACGGGCAGCCGACAGGCACGTGCACGTGTGCACACGCATACACAGCCATCTGATAGAATGAAGGAGTGGCGCTGCTGGGGAGAGAATGAAGGACTAGACGTGGGGAGGCGTTTCCCACGGGTGCTCAGAGAAGGTGCCTCTGGGGAGGCGACCTGGGATCAGGGACCTGAGTGAGCGAGGGGGAGCCATGGGACGCTCCGGGGCCTGCGTTCCCCACTGTGGGCACAGCAGTGCTGAGCCCTGGGACAGCACCGCCTGGGACGTGGAGGCCACTGTGGCTGCAGCCGGGAGGGCAGAGAGCAGAGCGTGTGGGGAAGGAGTTTGGCTTTTGTTCCCCATGCAGGGGGAGGCCCTGAGGGGCTCTGAGCAGGAGTGAGGTGACCCGGTTTGCACTTGTGGAAGCTTGGTCTGGCTGCTGGGTGCTGGCTTAGGGGCATTGAAAAGAGAACAGTCAGCATGGCACTGACATGTGGAGGGGCCAGGACTCCCTGGCCGCTGCTCTTCTGGCTGTTAGCATTTGCAGATGCGATCCATCCTTCAGCAGCCAGCCCTTGGAGGCAGTCCTGGGTAGCAGGCAGGCTCATCCCAGGTGACCGGGGGCTGAGACGGAAGGACAGATCTGCAGAGTTCTTTCCCCCAGGAGCGCTGAGCGGGAGCTTCTCCCTTCCCCACTCTGCTGTCACCAGAGTTTCAGACAGATAGAACAAATGGTTCCTCACCCACCTGGACCAGTGATGGATCAGCACACAAAACAGAGCACCGTGCAGGCGAGGGGCTTGTGTGTGGAGTGGTCAGAGAAGGACTTTCTCATAAAGATTAGGTGGTTTTCAGGACGTTTGGAGCAGAATATTAGCTTGTGGTGGCCCAGAGAGGTGGGGTGGAGGACAGAGCCGTCGCCTTCCCCAGGATCAGCCACTCTGACCCCGGCCAGAATTTCATGCTTTTGTACACAACTGAGAAACTCACTTTGACAGAAACAGCTCCATTTTTCTTGGAGTTCAGACACCTGTTCTGTCAAAGGAAATGTCTGTTTCTGTGTGAAGCAGAATTTCAAGGCAACGGTTATGTAGGCTTTTGGGTTCGGGGGATGTTTTAAGGATGAAGAAACCTTCTTCTTTTCCACGATCATCTCTTTATTTTGCTCACAGTTAGGAAGGCCGTCCCCGTGCAGCCCAGAACACTGCACTTTTTAATCTTGCCCAACACGATGAAGTCGTGCTGTTTTACTTTTTTATCTTATGGATCTGTTTGCTGTGAACAACCGGATAGAATCAGTGGGGTCTCCAGTGTATATTTTTAAGGGGCTGCATCGACGAGGTTCAAGAACACTGGCCAGTGTCCGTGCTGTCTAATACAGTGCAGGCCCAGGCCTGGGATGCCAGGGCCGTGGGTTTCATGCCTTTGGAGACGGACTCTGGGTGGGCTCAGGAGAGTGGGTCCATCTGAACAAAAAGCCAAGATCTGAGATGCCCCCTGGTTGGGCTGTGTTGCATCCAAGGCCTTCGTTTCCCGAGGCCCCTGAGCTCAGGTTCAGATTCCGTGGGCTTCATCGTTTGGCCCCTTGTCTCTCCTGCCAGAGGATGAACAGAGGGAGAAGTCAGTCTCCCACCAAACGGTCCAGCAGCTGGTCCTGGAGAAGGAGCAAGCCCTGGCTGACCTGAACTCCGTGGAGAAGTCTCTGGCCGATCTCTTCAGGAGATACGAGAAGATGAAAGAGGTCCTGGAGGGCTTCCGCAAGGTGCCTTTGTGTTCGGGGCCAGCGCGTGTGGGCGGGAGAAGGTGGAACAGGTTGGGAGAGATTGGGGGACATTCTGGAAGGTGTCCTCACAGGCTGGGGAGTCGGACTTGGCTGGCCAGGGTTACACCTTCTTGGGGTTTGCAACCCTCATCGGCGTTTTTCTGTGGGCTTGACCGTGTCCTCTATCGTGTCAGAACGAAGAGGTGCTGAAGAAGTGTGCACAGGAGTACCTGTCCCGAGTGAGGAAGGAGGAGCAGAGGTACCAGGCCCTGAAGGTGCACGCGGAGGAGAAGCTGGACAGGTACCACGCCCGGCTCTGCTCCCACGGGCCTCTCAGCAGCCCCTGCCAAGGCAGGCCGGGGGCTCCAATGGCACCCTTGACGTTAGCCTGGGAAGGGCGGATATTCTGCACATTCTTTCAGTATGATTCATGATACGAGTGCACACTCAGTGGGCATGCATTTTGCTAATTAAGGGATAAGTTGTGATGTCCAGGGCACCCTCGAAGCACCTGGACATTGTGGGAACGGGGTTGGAGGGGGGCAGTTCTCACGGGCTCCTGTGCTGGGCTCCTGTCGCTAGGAGCTGGAGCCAGACAGTTGCCCCCGTCCAGAATTGGGAGGAGGAGGGTGGGAGACATCTACAGGGGAGGGTGACCATTTCTGAGCTCCTCACACCCTCGCCCCGTTCCCACAGGGCCAACGCCGAGATTGCCCAGGTCCGGGGCAAGGCCCAGCAGGAGCAGGCTGCCTACCAGGCCAGCCTGCGGAAGGAGCAGCTGCGAGTGGATGCTCTGGAAAGAACACTGGAGCAGAAGGTAACAGGCCGAGGGGGCGGCCTCCAGGCCAGTGGGGCTGGCCAGACCCTCAGATAAACAGACTGGGCTTCCCTGCGCCCACAGCAGCTCTGGGGACAGGCTGCACAGCAGTGGCGCTCCCAGGACAAGTTCATGCTCCATGAGCTCTCCTCGCTCTCCCTCTGGAAGATCCAGTTTAATGCAGCTCTGAGCCTGGCCTCCTTTCTGCCTTTCCTGAATGGCTGCCTGCTTGGCTGTTTATTGCTGTTTTTCATTCCTTTTCAACTTTCATTCATTCGTCAAATATTTACCAAGCACCTACAACGCGCAGGCATGGTTCTTTAGTCCCTGCACCATGCTTGCCGGTGAGTGGATGGGGTCCCCACCAGACCCCTGGCAGAGACAACCGGCTGATGCAGAAAAGGGGCCATGTCAAGGTCAGAAGGGCCCCCAGATGTCCTCTTATTTCCATGGCTGGGGGATCCTCCTGAGGTCCCTCAGCTTTTCCCCAGCTTTCCTGATTTCCAATCTAGTGCTCAGTCCACTGTACACACTGTCTCCTTGGGTGTGAGAGGACATGAGAGGCCACTTCTGCCGGGAGCGCCATATGAGTCTGAGTCTGGATGGGTGTAAGCCAGGCAGGCCCCTCCCTGGGTATGTCTCTAGAAGGGGAGTTTGCAGACATGCACCCTGTTCTGGTTGACTTACTGAGCCTTCGGATTCCCCTGGCTGGTCATCAGAGAGCCCAGTGACCTTGGGTAGCATCGCTTCTCATGCATTTGGGCCTTGATGAGCAGTCATGGAGAGTCCTTCATAGGCAGGTGGCATCAGGGGTCCCGCATATCTCCCAAATGGCCTCTGCTAACCCAGAAGCACCCAGCCAGCCTCAGAGTGGCCCCTTTCCTGTGCCTGCACCTGGCCAGGTTCCAGCGGGGCTGGCTGTGGTCCCGAGGGTTCTGGGCCGAGCAGAACACAGGTGCTGCCTCGCACTTCACCTACCTGACATCAGGGAAAGAGCCCTGGGACGCGGGAGACTCAGGTCCTTGCCCCACCCTGCAAGCCTCTCACTTCACCTTGGTTTCTAGGTTTGTAACTTTGGAGGATTAAACCAGAAGATCTAGAAGGTTCCTTCTAGTCCTGAGAATTATATGGCTCTATTAGTCGAATGAATTTCCCTGCATCCAAGTCTAACCACAGCTCAGGCTCTGCCTGGCCGTGTGTCCCACGGCGCGTTCCTGGTTATCCAGAATTCAGACAACTAGAAAACGCACGTTGCCAGATCATGATTTTCCTCTTAGGATGAAAAAGACAAATTACTACCAGACAGTTTAATATCAGAGTCGTATTTTTAAAAAAGATAGAGCCTGGACTATGCCAAATATGTTCAGCCTCTATTTTCCAGGCTCTGATCATTATTCTTTGCACTAACCACAGAGACAAGCAATACAGTCAGAACTGTCAAACGCAGGCGTTTCCTCAATCCATATTTATTGAGCATCACTCCAGTTTTACTGCTGAATCGGTGTTTATTTTTGTTTTCTGAATGTCAATAATCCACATATAGCATACTCGGTGACTTTTGAAAAATGGAATATTCCTTTACGTTAAAGCCCACATTCCACAGTGGTTTTGGGTTTGGCCGTTGTGCATCAGCGTTTCTAGATGGGAAAGGTAGCAGTGCTGGTGTTGGAGATCGTTCCCTCCTGCTTCCGTCGGGATGTGACAGTGTTGAAGTCCCATCACGGCATTAGCTAAAACCATAGAGGTAAAACCGGAATCAGCATGGGTGTTTTCCAGGCACCTGGCCCATGCAGATTATCACAGTTGCAAAATGAAGGTGATGCTAAATTTTCTGGCAAACTCAAAGTCCAGGAAGAAAGCAAGTGGGATTGCACAGTTTGGGACAACAGAGAAGATACAAACATAGCTGCGAACGTAATTTTATCTTAAACGCAAGCTCAGGAGGAATGAGTTAATCACATGGGTTCTTCACTAAAGGACTTTACGTGATACAGAGGGGCCAGTCTCTCTTCTAAAGAGATTCCTTTTGCCCAGTCGAGACTTTGTAAAGTGAGCTGGGACTTTTGCCCCTGGGAGCTGAGCCCTGTGATGGGGCGGTTTGCTCAGCAGTGGGCCGACGGTGCCAGGATAGAGCTTGGAGAACCTCCAGGCGTCGGTAGCTGCCGGCTCTGCTAGTGCCTCCCAACCATCGGTTCCTGGACATTATGTTTAATAAGTAAGATAGCAGAGCCGTATAGGAGGCAGGCCAGCCTGAATTTGTGTTCCGGGCTTGCCATGACTGACCTGCTGTGTGACCTTAAATTAAGCACAACGCTTAACCTCTCTGAGCCTAAGTTTCCTCACTGAAAAGTGGAGTTAATAATAGCTTCCCTTCGGGGACTGTCGTGAGAACTGAGGGACTTGCTGCCTGAGTGTATTTAGCGTGGTGACTGGCACATGGTAAGCGCTCCAGTAAGGTGAAAAATCACCCCTAGCAGCCCCAGCACTGGCAATAATAGTAATTTCAGGACTGGCGGTTAGTGCCGCGTCTCGTGCAGAGCCCCATCTTCCAACAGGAATTTCAGGGCCCCTCTGAACTGAGCCTCTCAGAGCTGCGCACTCCAGAAGGGAGGTGGCCAAGGAGATGCTCCCAGCAGGGGCTGGTGGCGGGCTGCAGTGGGCACTGAACTTCTCCACTGAGGAGGCCGCGTCTCCCCAGGCCCTGGCACCGTGAGGAGCACCAGGAGCCCAACCCGCAAGCACAGGACACGGAGCTCCGTGCCGGGATGTGTCTCAGGGAGCTCTGAGCTTTCCCAGGATGGGTCTCAGTACCGCTCAGGGGACAAGCTTGTGGTTAAGACTCGCCTTCCCTGGGGACCTCCAGGAAACGCTGGCTGCAAAATGTTCCCGTGGTGCTGGAAGGATCCAGCCCCCTTGTGAGGGGCCGTTCGAGATTGCCTGTTGAGCCAGATCAGTGTGAGGCTCCGCATCCAGTGCATCCGAGAGCAGGGCTGCACCTGCCAAGACAAGGAGTCGTCCCGCTGGATCTCCGCTCTTAGAGGATGGACAGTTGTTGTTGTCGGATCATCGGTGCGAGACGATCGCGTTGCTTCCCCTTGACGAGCCCTGAGAGGACGAGCAAGGCCTAGCCTGAGGACCCCCTGAAGCCATCTTGCACCTGCCCCCGCCTCTCTCCATGATCCCTTGTATCCACGGCACTGCCTCATTGGGCATCCTCTGAATAAAGCCAGTGATCCCCATTCATTGGAGCATTGCTCCAAAAAGCCACTGAAGAGCTCACCCCAGACCATCCTTTTGTGTCCATGTCCTTCAGAGGCAAATAGCGGGAAGAGAACCAATGCTAGTTAAGCCTTTACTGTGCGCTGGCCGCTGTGCTGGGGAACTTTACACTTCTTACCTTATTTAATTCTCAGACAGATGTTATCATCAACATTTTAGAGATAAGGAAATCAAGGCTCAGAGAGGTTGTGTAACTTGCCCAAGGTCACACAGCTAGAGCTGGGATGTGTACTTAGATTGTTTGGCTCCAAGTCACTTCTCTCACTGCTTCAGATAATTTCAGGGGGACTGAGAGGCCTGGAGAACCTCGTGCCCCAGAAGGCCCAATGACCATTCTGATTGGCTTGATTTCAAACCACCAAGAGATTTCAGTAACCTCTTTCTTGTCTTCACTTTCAGAATAAAGAGATAGAAGAACTCACCAAGATTTGTGATGAACTGATTGCCAAAATGGGGAAAAGCTAACTTTGAACCAAACGTCTGGCCTTGACCGTTGCGTGCAATATGACCGTCAGCACACTGCTGTCCCCTGGTTACGCGGACAGGTTCTGTTTTCACTTTCCGTATGCACTACTGTATTTCCTTTCTAAATAAAGTTGATCTGATTGTATGCAGTACTAAGGAGACTATCAGAATTTCTTGCTATTGGTTTGCATTTTCCTAGTATAATTCATAGCAAGTTGACCTCAGAGTTCCTGTATCAGGGAGATTGTCTGATTCTCTAACAAAAGACATTGCTGACCTTGGCCTTGCCCTTGTCCCCGAGTTCCCAGGGTGAGCAGCTTTTGGATTTCATATGAACATGTACAGCTTGCACAGGGACTCTCGCCTTAAGGAGTGTAAACTTGATCTGCATTTACTGATTTGTTAAAAAAAAAAAAAAGAAAATGCATGTTTCAAATAAGATTCTCTATTGTAAATAAATTTTTTTCTTTGGATCTTGGCAATAAGTGTGGCTACAGTTTATTTTCTGGGAAGGGTTGGGTGGTTTCTCGCCTTTGTTAAATCCTATCAGATCTGGCCTTTCTCTCTCCTCTGTCTGGGTCCATTTCTTTGTCCGCAGATGTAACTCACATTTCCTTCGTTGATGTGGCTGTGTTGGTAAGGTGAAGCTAATGAGAAATATTGACTTCCTGCTTACTTGATTAAGTGAGTGTATTGAATTAGTTTAGTTGTTTTTACAATGTCTCTTTGACTTTAGGGGCAAAATCCATTTCCTGTGATTGGCTCGAGGAAGCAGCAGGCTGTCACTCCTCCGTGCGTTCCGCTAGTGTGTTCAGATCAACCCTGAGACGCTGCCCCTTCCCCTCTGAAGGCTTCGTAAAGGGCAGGCAGTTACCTGTGGGAGACAGGTGATTAATTAGAGATGTGCCTGCTGTTAGATTCGTAATTGCCCCTGACTCTCTCCGGGACCCCAGGTTGAGGGGTGTGTGTATAGCAGGAGTGAGGCGGTGGGACGGTGTCTCGTTTCCCATCACCGCCGTAACAAATCAGCACAAACTTGGCAGCGTAACACAGCAGAAAGTTGCTCTCTCACGGTGCTGGAGGCCAGAAGTCCCGAAGCCAAGCGTGGACAGGGTCGTTCCCTCTGGGGGCTCTCAGGGAGTCTGTCCCGTGCCTGTCTCCGGCTTCTGGCTGTGGCCAGCACTCCTTGGTGTTGCTTGGCTTGTAGCTGCGTCACTCCAGCCTCTGCCTCTGTCTGCACATGGCCTTCTCCTCTCTGTGTCTCATCTCCCTCTTCTTTTTCTTATAAGGAGACCACCCATTGGATTTAGGGCCCACCCTAAATCCTGGATGATTCTCAATTAAATCTGCAAAGACCCTATTTCCAAATAAGGTCACATTGACAAGCGGCAGTGGTCAGGATATGGATGTATCTTTGGGCGGATACGTTTGTGCCAGTGGGATGTGTGGTGTGGGATATAAGCTTGGAAAGCAGTCTGGAGCCCCCGAAGGCCCTCGGCTCGAACACCCCTCTTCCTGCCTAGGCACAGTGGCTGTAGCCTGCTCCCCTTACGTGGGGCCTCCCCAGTCCCTAACAGAGTGGGCTAGGCAGCCTCAGCCTTGGAGGAATGGGAGGGGTGTGGGAGGGTCTCTTTTGTGATTTAAAAGTGGGTGAAGTTATGCTGTCAGGGGGCACAGGGAGAGAAAGACGCAGCTGCCTCTAGTCCCACTGTCACCCTCACCTGGCAGGGATGCTAAGCCAGGGCAGGGGTCTGCCTCCTCCCACTGCCCAGCAACCTCTGCTTGGCTCAGCCTCCCAATTACACCTCCTCATGGCTCAGCCACAGCCCCCTCACCCAGATGCTCTCTCCTCCAGGCCAGACCCCCTCCTCCACCCTCACCCCAGGTTCTCACCTCCACTGTGTTCTCAGAACAGCCCAGCCCCTATCTCTTGAATGCTTTTATTTTTCCCATTAACTCAGTCAAAACATCCATCACTAAAAATCTAGAAATGCAGGTAAGAAAAAAACCCTCGTATGCAAATCAAGAAATGATGACTGTTGGGACCAGCCCCATGGCATGGTGGTTAAGTTCGGCACACTCCGCTTCAGTGACCCGGGTTCATGGATTCGGATCCTGGATGCAGACCTGCACCGTGATCCTCAGCCACACTGTGGCGGTGACCCACATATAAATATGTTAGCTCAGGGCTAATCTTCCTCAGGAAAAAAAAAGAAGAAATGCTAACTGTTAACATTTTCATGTTTATTTTGCTGTGCTTTTTCCTCGGTGTGTGAAATGTTCGTTGATCTTTTTATAAAAGCGGGATTATTTGCAGTTAGGTGGAGCCACTCTGGCACAGCCTTCTGCAGGGCCCTGCACACCATTTTGTAAAGTTTTTTTCCACCTAATACTGTAATGTGGCCGTCATGTTATGGTAAACTTTTGCATCAATAAATCGAGCTCTTTGTCATCATTTCGAGTGACTGCGTGTGTTCCGTGTACCAAAATGTATTTAGCCAACTGCCCATGATGGACATTTATATCAGGTCCCAACGTTTTGCTGTCACTATACACGCATGCTGTGTGTTTCCTTATGCACATACGTTAGTGAACATGAGTCCTTCCTTAGGCTGAATTCCTAAAGTGGCCAGTACTCCAGCCAGAGGCCACCAGGAGCACACCTGTGACTGAACAGGTTGTTGCTCTGTGCAGTGCGGGGGGACACCCTCCAGGGGGAGCCGTGGGGCATCTCAGTAAGCGGGTCTCAGCTTGTGGCAGAGAGCTTGGACTTGGGTCAGGTGGTTCTGGGGAGACTCGGGGAAGCAGAGCTTTGCTCCACTGGATGCTGTCAGGCCAGAGATGCTTCTCAGGGTGGGTATCTCAATACATCTTATCTAGAAGAAGACTAGACTAAGGAAAAGCTGTAATTAGTACAGAAGCAACAGTCACTCATGTACCCATTAGCCAGGATAGAGGGATGTTTGGTCCTTTCTGTGGTTTGGATAATGTTCACGTCCTGTCTGTGTTCCGACATGATTACGGAGTGGTCTTATTTTTTTCTTGATCCATCACAGTGTGGTCGGTTGGACGCTGCTGTTCTGTGAAATTGTCTGTGTTCTATACGAGAACAGCAAGACCTGGCGGTGAGTGCCGGCCAGCTCCCTGAGGACACGGGCTGCTTTTCTCCTTCTTGAAGGTTATACACATTTTTAAAGTTTGGGTTGGGAAGCCCATTGCCAAATAGCCTTCCACTAAGGTCGTACTAAGATATAACCCCACCACCACTACACAGACACAAGCCCGACACACACAGCCTCAGTATACGCTCTGGGGCACAGGATCTGGCAGTTGGCTGCTCTTACTGTTGGCCTGCCAGCCCGGCCTAGCTGGGGAAGCACGGGCCCCAAGCTTGGCCTCAGGCCCACCTACCCCTTGCCTCCGTCACTCTACCTACCCACAGGCCGCTGTGCGGAGTGCCGGCCTCCGGGACCCTATGGGTTAATAGCAGCTGCTTTTTCTCCTACGCTCACTTTATGTAATGCCACATACGCTTGCAAATGTTCAGCCCGTGATGGCTGCTGAGGACTATTTAAGTTATTTTGCTCTGCTGAGTGAGTGGAAAGAGAAGCCAGCAACTGATGCGCCAGCCGGCATTACAACCTTTGAGATTCTCAGCATCTCTTAGAACTTCGGTTTGTCGAGTCAGTTGAAATCTTGAGCTTCTAACATCATTTTTGGTTTTCTTTTTCAGACTCAGCATTTCCTTGGTGCTCTCAAGTTGAAGGTGGCTTTACTGAGAGAGTAAGACTGCCTTGTGAGGACAGAGAGTGGGTAGGGCGGGGAAGGAGATAGAAAAGAGGGAGGTGGTCACTGACGACCTGGGGAGGGGGGCCCTGGGGAGTTTCTTTTTCTTTCCAGTTTGGGGCTCAGCTCCTTAGGTGTGAGATCTGAGCTGCTGAGGCCACAGTAGGGAGCGTCCCTCGAGGACGCCTCCCCAGTCCAGGCCCCTGACTCCAGGAGAGAGAAGCCATCGGTGCTCCGCGTGGGGCAGGTAGAGGAGGTGACCGGGCCAGAGTGAGGGTGCCCAGCTTGGCGCTGGTAGGATGCCGAGGTTTCTTAGCAAAGCCTCTCTACTTTCCAGGACATTCCATTACACTTGAAAAATTGGCCAGAGCAGGGTGGGTGTTCTGATGGGGGCGGGGGGGGGGGGGGTGGAGGTGTGTGCACACGTGGGGCATATTGGCAAGAGGAAGGTAATTATTTAAATGTGAGCACCAGCAAGGGCTCCCTGGGGGTTAGCTCATTTTAGCCTTGAAACAACCTGGTTAGTAGAAACTATTTTTATTTCCATGTAACAAAAAGGAAACGGAGGCTCAGAGAGGTTAAAATTCTGGGGAGTTGACTGAGCCACTCAGCCAGGAAATGGACAGCCGGGATTCGATCCCAGGTCTTGGTGCCCTTAAGGCCAGGTCCTCCACATTCCCCAGGCTGAGAGGTTCCTTTATAAGGAGGTCTGAGCAGAAAGTGGTGGGGGGAGAAGGCATAGGGCGGGGATGTACCCTAGTGCCTGTGGGGTCCTTACATCTGTTCTTAGTCTGATTGGTGGCCCTGCCTTGAGTCTGAGCTGGCTGCCCTGTTGTTTTTATGGACTGTAAACAACCTGCTTGGGGCCGGCCCGGTGGCGCAGCACTTAAGTTCACACATTCTGCTTCGGTGGCCCAGGGTTCGCTGGTTTGGATCCTGGGTGCAGACATGGCACTGCTTATCAAGCCATGCTGTGGTAGGCATCCCACATATAAAGTGGAGGAAGATGGGCACGGATGTTAGCTCAGGGCCAGTCTTCCTCAGCAAAAAGAGGAGGATTGGTGACAGATATTAGCTCAGGGCTCATCTTCCTAAACTAAACAAAACAAAACAAAACAAAAAAACCCCTGCTCCTTGATCCGTGGAGGGGCCGGCAGTGGGCTGGCCCAGGGTGTGCTTTGTTAGGCTGATGTGAGCAAGTGGCTTTGCTCTTCCTGGTCTTTGCATGTTTCCCTCACAGTCAGTGGACCCAGGACACCTCCCCAGGCTGGTGCACGTGGCCGGCCAGACTCCTGAGTTCCCTGGGCTGGCACAGCCATGGCAGAATCTGGAGAATTCACAAGTCTGTCTTTTGGATTTATTAGGAGCTGGGAAATGCAATTTGGAGATCAAAAGGGTAAGCCCTGGGAGATCTACGCGCTCCACTCCTCGAGTCCCGCCCTGGGGTGCCGTGAGCCTGCGCGGTTGGTTCTTCAGTAGGTCCTGACCTCTCCACTCCAGCCCAGCACATGCTGTTCCCTCCAGCTGGGACACTCACCCCGCCCCATCATCTTATCTCTCAGCTAATTGCTACTCCCTTAGGACTCATCCTTGATGTCACTTCTTCCAAGGACCCCCCCCGGGCCTGGGTTAGTGTTTCAAAATGTAGGTTTCATTAACATTCAGGTCTGGTGAAGCAACAGATCAG